GGGTTTTTCTTGAATAACTTTCGAAGTAGTCAAGATAGGAACAAACTAAGGGCATCATCGTGATCCTCTCGTCAATCCGCATCGAATGATATATATGTTGACCTCGAAAGGTCAAGGTCAAAGGTTGACCTCAGGTCACGTGACCTCGAGGTCATCATGTATATCATTCGATGCGTCTTGACGAGCTGAACACAATGAGACCATCCGCGCGGCTGTATCTTGTTCCTGTAAGGAGTTATTGGCAAAAAAACCTTTGGTGACCTTTGATGACGTCACATGACCTTACAGCTGCCCAACAGCAAAACAGACCTCAAGGTAGTGAAGGTTGATCGTATGTGAAGTCATGTATGGTATATGGGGCCATTCCGACCCGTTTTAGTGGTAAAAACAGGAGGTTGATTTTTCCCCCATTGATTTATAATGGGGAGGTCGCGAAATTGACCTGACCTTAGGTCACCGACATCAAAATTCCGAGATATACAAATTGTAGCTACTAATGACCTAATAACATCCTGCGACTTTCAAAGGCCTCCGACATCTACTGTAGCTCTGGCACGGTGACAAAGTTGCAAAAAAGTGACTTGAGGTTGGGTCATTCAAAGTGACCTGGTGACCTGACCTTAAAAGTTAGGAGGTTCAAACTTGCACACCATGTGTAAAATTGATGAGAGAATAGTCATACCAAATTTCGCGGCGCTACGCGCCGCGGTTTTCCCGCTATCCGCGAAAAACCTCAGGGGGGGCGGATATCCGCCCCCCCCGTCGGTGCGCGGGTTAAACGCCATAGGGGAATAGCTACAGTCCCCCGCAATTTCGTCACGAGCATCGGGCCAATCAGCGTCGAGTATTGCCGAACGCCGATTGGTCGATTTCCGCTAGCCTGTAAATGCTGCTTGCGGATATAGTTTTGAACAAGTGAGGGTCGCGGCTACTAATTATCGCTTGTCACCACTTTTTCGTCGGGAACGTTCTACCTGGTTTATATAGCCTTGGGTAAAGCTATAACGAGCATTCTTATTTTTTTCTGAGGTTAGGTCACTTGGCGTGACCTGGTGACCTGACCTAAGGCGACCTGGATCTGAAATTTTCACAACATGTGCGGAAAAGATGCCCAAATAGGTGTACCAAAAACGGTGGCGCGGAGCTCCGCCGTTTTTGATATATCTGCGAAAAACCGCAGGGGGGTGTTCAAACACCCCCGGCCCGGCGCGGGTTAACCCTCGCCGGCACAGGGGGGGGGGGGTATGCAACCCCCCAAGGTTTTTCGCGACTCGCGTAAAAGCGGCCGATTGCGACGAAACTTTCAGTACCCTCGCATTAATCAATTTTACACCTACCCTGAAAATTTCATGACCCTGACCCAAATGACCTTTGACCTGTGAACCCTTTTCCGTGACCAATGACCATGTTCGGGCCGTAATCGCGATTCGGCGAATGTATGTCGGCACGCATTAGCCGCGCGTTTGCAAGCTTTTCGTGGTTTCAAACGTTCAAACATGTGATTTGATGTTGCTCCCATACATTAGGGTGGGTGTCAAGGTCACCTGAAGGTCAGGTCAGGTCATTGACCTTTTGTGACCTCGGTTCACTTTTTCGAGTTTTACATGTTTCTAGGCTAGTTTTTGGAGCTGAATTCGAATTTAGCAACCATTTGAACATTTACGAAGTAGTTTTGGTGACTTCGTAACATGTTACGAAGCTGTCAGAGGCGGTTGACACGTACTACGAATACCCGTCACGACGCCTACTGGTTGACCTGACCTGACCTGACCCGACCTGGTCTAAATGCTTAAAGACATCATCTGTGATCAAAACTAACACGATATTCGTGATCAGCACCCCGAAAACCCCTTGGCAGCCACACTTTACGACTTTCTAACAGGTCCCGATTTCCCCGACTTTGGGTCATTGACCTGACCTGGAAGGTCAACCAATGACATAGGACCTTAACCCTCGCCGGACCTATTGGTTTTCTACATACGCGCCAGCCGAGGGGGGGGGGCGGGTACGACCCCCCCCCTCGCCGTTTCGCCCCTGGTGGAGCTAGCGCGTCGCGGAAAAAACGAGCGTGTGCGCCGTTACGAGACGCAGAGATTGGTACCCGATTTTAAGGTCCTAGGTCAACCGGTGACCTCTGAGGTCAGGTCAAGTGCCCCAAGGTACGGTTCAGTTTTTGGTGAATAACTTCGCAAAAAACGGCCGCAGAGCGCCGATTTTGGCAGCATCGTGTTCGTCTCGCTCAGGCGCGTCGAATGATATACTTTTTGTCCGGGTCAGGTCAATTTGGGGTGTTGACCTCAGGTCAAGGTCAGGTCAGCACCCCCAGGTCACGAAGTTGGTCGAAAGGGGTCATGTTGCATATCATTCGATTCGGCAGGTCTTCCTGAGTCCATTGGTGGCTTTCCCGACTCGCTAGCTCAATTTGATCAAGAGTTATTGACGAAAAACTAATATGACCTTGATGACGTCATAAATGACGTCACGCAAGGTCAACATTGCAAAAGTGACGCATCTAACCTTGCAAGGAGTGCATCAAATCACGATTCTGTGTGCTTGAGATAGTCGGAGATCGTTCCCGGCGCCAGAATAGCAGTTTGAATTTTTCCCCATTGACTTATAATAGTGAGGTCACGAAAATGACCTGACCTCATATGACCTTTAGGAAAAATCCGAGATATACAAGTTGTGGGACTCATGATGGATACTAGATCCTGCAAGTTTCATTTCCCTCTGACATCTCCTCTGGCAGTGAGGGCGTTGCGAAGTTGCGACATCTGAAGACCGTGCAGAGGTTCACTTATGACGTCATAGGTCAGTGACCTGACCTGACCCAAAAATGCGGTTGGTGTCAAAAGATCCGGCTTGGATCAAAGGTCAGGTATGCCAAGTTTCAGCTCTCTATCGCCAGCGTGTTCGGAGCTATCGCGAAAAAACCCTATGGGGGGGCGGCACCCGCCCCCCCCCCTCGGCCGGCGAGGGTTAAAATTGGGTATCATCGGCTTCCTCTCGTCACTGGCAACACGCTCGGTTTTTTCGGCGAAGCTCTAGCTCGATCAGGGGCCAAACGGCAAGGGGGGTCCAACCGACCCCCCCCCCACACACACACATTAGAAGAGCTGGCAAACGCCGCACACATGCGAGGGTTAAGCTAGATCCAATTTGCTTGCATGGGAGGACTCAGAATGGACTGAGCTATCAAATTACCATCTCGAATTTTCAAAATTTTCAAAATTTTGAAAATTATATATATTTAAATTTAAAATTTATGTTTTTATCTTTTTCAAAAAGTTTTTGACTTTTCGAAAAAAAAACGGAATACCTATATATGATAGAACAACTGCTTATGACTTACCTACTCTAACAAGTTTTAGCCAGATATCTTCAAAAATGGCCAAGGTACACGTATTTTAGCAAAAATTTCAAAATTTCAAATTTTCAAATTACTTTTTGCAGTACGAATTTGATTCGTACACCAATAGGTATAAACAGCTCCACCGTGTTCCGATGGAGCTATGTGTGCACTGCGTGTGCACTGTTTATCTCCTACCGCGATGAATAAACCGGCTGAATTTTTTGTATCATCTCTTACTCTCGGTTAATCCGCGTCCTGCTGGGCTATTCAGTCATACGTGCCCTGCTGGGGGGGGGGGGGGGGCGATTCCGCCCCTTTCCAACTTCCGAACCAATGGTCGTTATAGAAAGGCCGGAAAACGGTAGTCGATATCTCTCAAGAAGGACCTTTGGAGCCGATTTTTTTGGCTTAGTGTGTCAGAGGTCATGTCAAGGTCAGTTCAAAGGTATAAGTTTATACATTATCGGCTTTGAAGCGTAGCTGACGAGAAATGAATGCCCGAGATTGATTGCCTAAAACGCATTCTAAGGCTATCTAGACAAGATGCGTCGCCTACGATGCTATGCATAGGTCAAGGTCAAGGTCAGGTCAGGTCCCTATTGAGAAAAACGGGAGGGAGCAGACTCTGCCCCACCCCACACCCCCACGCGCAGTAGAGGACGGAGGTGGGGCGAATTTCGCGGATTATAACTAGTTCTTTTTTATACACGCTGTCACCCTCACAAATCTTTGACAGTTTCAGTGCAACGGTTCAGTCGGTTTAGCTATGATAAACCTTTAGATTTTTGTTCAGTTTTGGTAGCTTGATGTGACCTTTTCAATTAACCTTGAATGACCCATGTCCGCAACTTTAACAACTCGTTGAAAAGCAAATCATTTAGGTATAGGCACGGTTAGTAATGAGCCTTCGCGGCGCTGATTGATAGGTATTTCATTGCGCTCTATTATCTCTTTGGTGAGTGAAATACCTATATATGTTACGAGTAGCTCCAAACGCCAATTACATGAATAAGAATATTCTGCCTTGACCAGTTCTACACACCTTTCCATGCTTCTATCCTCAGGATACTGAAATCCTTCTCCTCCAAGCCGCAACCCCCCTCCGGACTGGACAGGCAACTTTATCTCATGCGGGCTGCTCCCTTGGAGCGGCACCGCTGCTCCTGTGGGAGCGCACCCCGTAGCCGGGTGCAGTGAGTGCCTTGGGGCTGGGTGGCCTGTCCTCTGGACGGGCTCAGCCCCGGCGACTCACTAGGGTGCCTGCCCAGACCAATGTCTCCCCCTAATTCCTATCATCCTTCCGGCTCTGCAATGGTCTTGTCGACCGAAAGGGCCTAACCCAACAAAACAAACAAACCAGTTCTAGCAATTAAAAAAGTGTGTGTATGAGTATGTGTGTGTGTATGTTTAGTTGGTTGCCTAGTTGCCAATGACGTCGTGCAGCGGTTGGCATGGTTACACAGCTCTGCGTCGCCAGTCGCTATGGCCACGCTCTCTGATCGGCGTGTCGTCATGGAGATCGCCGAGATCGTGCGGCACGCAGTCAATACAGCGCGGATGCAGGCCACCAGAAGGCACCGCAGAGGGTGTCGAGACAGCGAGGAGCCGCCGCCGCAGCCGTGCCGTGCCTCCCTCCTACAGCTCGCTCATGACGGCTGAGAAGCCAGCGGCGGCCGCCAAGAAGCTTCAAGCCGTGGGCCAGGAGACTCTGGCGGAGGACAGCCAGGACAGCCTGGCGCGCTACAACACCATCATGGTGACCGTGATCCTGGCCATTTTCTCACTCTGCGTCATGGTTACCACTGAGGGTAAGTGTCCCACGGTCTTGCTCACCGGGAAGGAGATGAGCTGATATTTACATCACCCACGGTTCGAGGTTTGGTTCATCAGCGAGGGATATTGATAATATATGTTGCCGTATGTTGTCTATTCATTATCTTAGGGAGTGTGTAAGCATCAAGTATTGATCTACCACAAAGGCAATCCGCCTGTATTTGCGTGTGAATAATAAGGTGTGGGAATAGGAGTCACGGACACTTACAGGCAGCTTGGATGTTAACAAGTCGACAGCAAGAAAGGCGTTTCGATGATTACAAGTCAACTGAAATGAAGCCGAAAGCGTCTTTACAACTATTCGGCATTCACTGAAGACATGCACAATGCACATTGCACACTAAGACATGGGCTACTGTTAAGCAGCTGACTATATACTACATCCGCGCTTTTTACGGAGCGAGCGAAGCGAGCGGAGTCTTTCGCATATGTATATGTAGATTGTAGATTAACGGAAATTTATGAGCATGAGCGGCCGGCCGGCCGTGGGGACGCTTTTGCGAGGCTTAAATCTCAGCAACCACTTGACCGATTTACATGCGGTAATTTTTGTAGGGTAGCTTCGTTCCTTCTACCAAGTTTTGTACCTACTATTCCCGATGCATGTGGGTGACCCTATATGTGCCACGTGCCACGTGCAAAGCGAAGAGATGTCAGTTTTGTAATAATTGCAATATCTCAGTAACTACTGGGCCGATTGCGCTGAAACTTGGCATGTAGGTAGGCACCCACTAGGCCACTAGGCAATGCATATCCATGTGCCACAGTTGGGGTGCTGCTGCACGTGCGCACGTGCAGGGGTCGATTCCAGATCTCGAGAACAGCTGGACCGATTGCGCTCAAATTTGGTACGCGGTTAGGGGCCGTTTAGTAGGGTGCCGTGCAAAAGTCAGTTGGGACCCATTTTGCACGTGCGCACGTGCAGGGTGCCGCTTCCAAATCTCGAGAACGGCTGGGCCGATTGTGCTCAAATTTGGCACATCGCTAGAGACCGGTTACCGGTTAGTAGGGTGCCGTGCACAAGTCAGTTGGAGGTACCCCCTCGCAATGTCGCACGTGCAAGGCCCACCCTCTCGCTCGCTCCGTTAGTCGCCCCAAAAGGCGTTATACTGGTACCGTTGTTTTAGCAACACAAAGTAAGAGCTACTGACTTTAAAGTAAAAAGAGAGGAGAATGTAGCGCAAAGGCGAACCTCTTTTGCCCCTCACTATGGCCATGCGTTGTCTTTGCGACCACCACGAGATCGGAACACAGTCGCGAGATCAGAGCGGGGGCCACCAGTCCAGCCAAGAGGCGCTGGTTATGCGGCATAACTATGCTAGGTTCACTAGGCTCACTGACACATCACTAGATTGATGTCGTTACTCTAACGACATGGCATTACAGTAACACGATAAAATTTCGACAGCTGATGCTATATTTTAGTACGTAAAGGTGATAAGTGTTATACACTATACAGTTGCTATGCAGTACACGAATTTTTAAAGGCATAAAAATGCGTGCAGAAAGTGTTTGTAAATCAAGTGACTGAACTTCGTCAGATGTGTTTTCATTTGTGAAATACGTTTAAAGTTTGGAAAAAAAGTCTGTCCTAGCTATACACGGTAGACGTACAAAACATTTTCCATCCTCATGAGACATGAGTAACAAATGCAATGGAGTTAACGGCGTTTTAGCAGCGTCATTCTGCGATTGACATTAATTCAAATTACCGGATATCCCGCATGTAATTGTTCATGCAGCTCAATGCGGGAGAAATTTAATGGCCGTGACATCAGTCGTGCCTACGTTTTAAGCTCTGCTTGTCATGCAATATGTTCATTAAGAACGCAGTTTCACTCACGGGGCTTACCCAACGACTATTTTTAATGAACAGGTAAGGAAAAGGTATAAATAGGTATAACGCCCATTTCCAGAAAGCGTGTGTCAAAATGCAAAATAAAGGATAAAACTTCAAAGTATAATAAAGAAAGCAAAGCATATAGCAATACACATAACGGAAAAACGAATGCAAAAAAAGTCTCGCAAATCGCAATTACCTAGTTTTGTCCTTTGCATAGGAAAAAAATGCATGAAAGTTTTGTTCGGGGTAGGTCAACTTAAAGTGCTTGCCTTAGGTCAAGGTCAGTCAGGTCACAGTCGCCCTAGGTCACGAAGCCGGTCAAATAAGGTACAAAATGAGACTTGGCTGTTTTTCCAAGTCCGTTGGTGACTTTCTCGACTCGCGCTAGCTCAATTCGCTCAAGAGTTATTGAACTCCGATAAAACTCCGAAAGTCCGATAAGCTCAAGCGACCGTAGTGACGTCACATAGGTGCAACGTCATGCAAAGTCCTCAATGTAAGTCTAAGCATGAGACTTTGCAAGAACTGAACGAAATCACGACAGGTGCCTGAAATGGTCTAAGACCATTTCTGGTGCAAAAAATAACAGCTTCAATATCATGATGTTGAAGTCACATAACCGACCTATAAGCACAGGTGACCCCTAAAAAATCCTAAGACTCCAACACCTGATAGTCGTTTCGGTCACGTGGCTTCCTTCCCTCCCTGCAGGTGCTATACAGGAGCTGAGAGCCGGCGACTTTTTCTGCAAGCTGGACGGAACGCTGACCTGCCAGAATTACACTGTGCGCTGTGTCGGAGAGGGCTTCATCAACTGCGACGGTCCGAGCAGCACACGCGGTCAGTCGGGAGAGGGTCGGGCGTGGGCTCAGCTCCAGTGCAGGATAGCAAACGCTATTATATTTGTCAAAATATATGCAGTAACGTGGAGTGCGTGAGACTCATATGGTAGTTAGCTTGAATAAAATGCTAAAAATGATTGAGTAGCGATTAGGATGGGTAAGCTCAACTTCGAAAGTTACATACACTTTTTAACGTTTGAAGAAAGTAGTTAGCTAATGTGCAAAATTGTCCGAATCGTTATTGTTTTTGAAATGAAATATGTTATGGTGTATGTATTTATTCCAGAGTCGGCCACCTTGGTGCTGAAGATGATGACATCCGAGTCAGACTTTACCGATCAGTTTCCCGACCTCCTCGCCTACCTCCAATCGCTGGTGACCGCTGGTACGAAAACCAACGACTCCATGGATACAGGGGACGTCGTCGTCTTCCCCAAATCTTCGACAACATCTGGTGGAGGATTTGACCTTAGCCAGCCAGCCAAACCTTCAGCGAAGACTGGAGGATTTGATCTCAGCCAGCCAGCTAAGGCAACAGTAACGACTGGGGGATTTGATCTCAGCCAACCAGCTAAGGTTCCTATGAAGAGTGGAGGATTCGATCTCAGTCAGCCAGCCAAGTATCCGGCGAAGACAGGAGGATTTGATCTTAGTCAGCCTGCCAAGCCAGCAGTGAAGGCAGGAGGATTTGACCTCAGCCAGCCAGCTAAGGCTCCAGGAAAGACTGGAGGATTTGATCTCAGTCAGCCCGCCAAGCCAGCAGTGAAAGCTGGGGGCTTCAATCTTAGTCAGCCTGCTAAGCCAGCAATGAAGACTGGAGGATTTGACCTCAGCCAGCCAGCTAAGGCTCCTGTGAAGACTGGAGGATTTGACCTCAGTCAGCCTGCTAAGCCAGCAATGAAGACTGGAGGATTTGACCTCAGCCAGCCAGCCAAACCTTCTGTGAAGACTGGAGGATTTGACCTCAGCCAGCCAGCTAAGGCCCCTGTGAAGACTGGAGAATTTGACCTTAGTCAGCCAGCTAAGGCTCCAGCAGCGACTGGGGGATTTGACCTCAGTCAACCAGCCATACCACCAATGTCGAAAGCTCCGGGCCAGCTCAATAAAGAGGCGAAAATGACAACCACCTCCCCAACATCAGAGACCCTGCTAACTCCCAGCCTTAGGTCGACCCCCACGGCTTCGCCCGACACCCTCAGTGTCACCACCTCCGCTGGTGTGGCCGCGACCACGGGAGCCACCAGCCAGGGAGAACGCCGTCAAAGAGCAGCAGGCCGCGACGACGCAAGGCACCATAGCATGCCGATCAAGAAGAAGGCAGAGAGCGATGACAAACCTGACGGCGGAGAGGGAGAAAAGAAGAAGACTCTTCTTCGGCAGCTGGACAGTTTGAGGACGCAGCTGGTCGACAACGACAATGAAACATTTACCGCCAACTCGTCCACTTCTAAGGGTTAGTTCCATGCTGAGACACAAAGTCGGCGATTTACTTTTTATGGGGTTCTTTTCCTTTAGGTATTGTCGCTTATAGATGCGTAAAAGAAAATGCTTCCAATGGAGAGATTGCAATCTAGGTAACTGTCACCATCAAAGAATAGCGCAGCGTATAACATATTGCACATCAAAACGCGCCGCTGTCAGTAGACATGCCACAATATCTATTAATCGTCCAGCACCGCTGGCTGCATCTGATGACGACTGGCCTGGCGCCGCGTGTCCGCAGCCCTGGACGTGCTGGAGGCGGAGCTGCAGCGTCCCGCCGACTCCGAGGGCACCAGCTGCACCGTCGCCCGGATGGTCTGCAGCGAACTACCTCCACTCAGCAGCTGCACCGGCACCTCCGCCGGAAAATGCCATGGTAACCGACTGGGTAACGGTAATGGTAACTATGACAACCACCACCGGGACACGGTAACGGTCTCGGCAACGACACGGTAATGGCGGATGACACAGTAAAGGACTTGGTAGTGGTGGGAGACGCAGTAACGTCACTGTAGCAGTAACCGAAACAGTTGTTGACACAGTAGCAACGGTAATGGATGTAGGAACCACACGACAATGGTAATTGTATCGGCAAATAGCGCGGAAACGACACGTCAACCACACGGTATAACGACATAAAAATGACAGGGTTACGCTGAACGATACGGTCATGGTAATGGGAAGTAACTACTAACTTGATAACGCTTATAACGCGACAACGGCTCAGTAAACGACGTGATATATTAAACACATTATAATCACAGTAAACACGTTATAATCACTGTAAACGAAAGTCGAAACGGCGAATGTTAGCAAATCGGTGACAGTAAACGCCATAACAGAAATGATATGGTAGCCGGGCCGGCATGCCAACAGTAACCGTCTCGTTAGCCGTTATTTTCTGTGAGAAACAGGGAACGACTTGACTTCATGGCTACGCATGTCTTAAGATCAAATGTTGCTGCTTATCAATGGAATGCATTCGCTGGTCCGTGGTCGCACATGTAAACTATAAACTGTATGTAAACTGCTACAGTGCACATGTAAACTGCTGAGGTGAGGTGGACAATCTGGTTTACAGAGAAGCAGCCGATGACTCGGGAGGGGATGATGGTCGCCCTGCTCGTGCCCATCACCATCACCACCATCGGCATCATGATCTACGTCCTCTTCTGGAAGTGAGTGCACTCAAAAACTTCCTGTCTCATACTGTTGGCAATGTATTTTTGTCCCCTTCTTTTGGTTTATTCTTAGCGGAACTAAAGATACGCATCTCGCGATGTTTGGAGCAGTGTACGGTCTATAAAGTACTTTGCGCTGTTCGGTATCGATTGTCGCCGTCGCTGAGTTGCGGCTGCCCACACCGCGCCGCCTCTCTCCGACTCCCCGGTGCCGTGACTGCCGACAGGCGCGTGGGTAGTCAGGTGGACGTGGAACAGCCGAGTGCCGAGCGCGCCGGAGCCGCCAAAAAGGCAGAGGCCGGCGCCAGCCAGCCGGCCGCCTAGGGCCGCTGGCCGGGCGTGGTCCACCTCAAGACCGGCGGCAGTCGACGGCGCACGCCCGGCCAGCTGCCGTTCGCATCCGCCGCTCCCGCCGGCGCCCGCGCCTCGCCGGCCACCCGTTGTGCCGGCGCCCACACGCCCCGCGACGGCGCCCTGACGCCCGGCCGCTCCGTGAACGATGACGCCGAGCCCGTCAGACAGCACTCGGATGGAGCCCCGTGAGCTCCGGCGCCCGAAAACGTCCCCCTCCCCCGACCTGCTGCACTCATTGGGTGCTCCCTCGCACTTCGGGGCGCCCCCTCCCCTGAGTTCCAGTATCCGGAGTGAACGGGCGCACTCGAAGCCACCAAGGTTCAAAGGGTTTCGGGAGTGCCCTACAATCCGTCAGAACCGTCCAAGACAGAAAGGGGGACACCCGATGCCCTCATTGGAACACCAGGAGCGCCTCAGGAAAGCTCTCACCCATTCACTACAAGGGAGGACGGCCAACTTTGGTCGTTTGCCTATACGTGGGGTTTGAGGGTCACGTCCTGGTGATGTCTGGTTGATAGGATGCAGGTAACGTCCTGGCTAAGCCCAGTGCGATGCCGCTGATTGCTGGGGGTAGCGGTAGCGCGAGGTTGGGTGGGCTGACCTGCGCCGCGTGCTGCGAGGTCAGGTTTGCTTCAGAAATCAGAATACGGCTGGTGAGGATGGTTCGGTAACGACAGGACCGCTGTCCGAATTGAACATTATTTGTCTTGTTCACCGACACGGTTCGATATCGTACCCATGGAGACTTCAAATGTATTTGATGTTAGATTGATGTGAAATGAACACCCTGTGGAGGGTTTGGAATGAAAGTGCGCACCTAAAGAGGATGGAATTAAGACCTCCTCACTATCCACGCTTATCCTCAAGGCCTAAGTTATCGATAACTGGTTGTTAACCCGCGCCCCACTGGGGTCTGCGTATAACACGCCCTACTGGGGGGGGGGGGGGGGGCTTTCATAGCCCCCCCCCCCTCCTAACTCCGAAACTACTGGGCCGATCGTCAAAATTCAAACGGCTTCTGATAACCCCGGAAAAACTGTCGAGCGGAACCTAATTTCATTGACCTCAAGGTCACCGATGACGTCACAGGTCAGGTCAAAGTAAAAATTATTAGCATTTTGGCTTGTTCACGTTTTGGGCTCTGGCCACCGTCTTACAAGTCAGATCAGGCTCATTTTTGGTTCACACACTCGTGAACAGATGCTCTAGATACCCTGAGGGTACCAAACTTGTACTTTGATTTTCAGGTCAAGGTCAGGTCATCACAGGTCACGAAAATATTATATCATGTGTCGGTCACGTGACACATGTTTTATGGTCCATTTAGGCCAAAGATTTCGAATTTGATGTCGTCTGTGTCATTCGAGGTCATTTTGAGTCGAATTTAGCTTAGGTCAGGTCGCTTTCAGGTCAAAAAAGGTCAAATTTTAAGTTATAATTTTTCAACAGAAAAGGAGTCTATTGGATGCAGTTTGAGCTCAGGAACACGGTGGTGCTATTTATATTGGCGTACGATGTCAAATACGTGGTGAAAAATTGATTTGAAAAATTCATAATTGTGAATTTTTTGCAATAACGCGTATAACTTGGCCATTTTTGAAGATATTTAGCTAAAACTTGCTAGAGTTAGTCATAATAACGCGTTCTATCACATATATTCCGTTTGTTTTTTTTTTCGAAAAATCAAAAACTTGTTAAAAAAAAATGTAAAAATATAAATTTTGAATTTTATTATAAAATTTTTCAAAATTTTCGAAATTTTGAAAATCCGAGATAGCAGTTTGATAGCGCAGTCTATTCTGAGTCCTCTCATGCAAAGAAATTGGATCTAGCTTAAAAACTGAGCCCTTGGGAGCGATTGCCGTGGTTCAATGTTTTGCGTCGAAATCGGCCGAACATGACGTCACTCTGACGTCATTTCCGGCCGACCTATCGTAGCTACGAAGTTCAAATTTTGACACAAGGTGTCAAATTGATTTAGCCGAAGTTACTGAAAGTTTGGCGTCGATACGTCAAGCGGTTTGGAAGTTATTGCAGAAAAACGGGAGGGGGGGCTATAAATAGCCCCCCCAGTGGGGCGCGGGAGAACAACAAGTAATGTTACTATTCTGAATAAATCGGTAGGTACAGTATTTGTAATGTTAAGAGTTATGCCTGTAAACAAATAACTTTGAGATATAAATGTTGTGTTATTACATATATGCTGAATGCGACGCATTGACCGAAACATTATTGTATTGATGTTTTTACTATTTATCATAGTGACAACGGGTTAGTAATGTTGATGGCGAGAGTTAATTCGCGCCCTGGTGGGGTCTGTTTATAACGCGACCTGGTGGCGGGAGCTATTCCCCCCCCTCGTATCTCCGAAATTACTGAGCGCATCTGCAAAATTCAAACGGTGTTCGAAAGCCCTGTCAAATTTGTCGCAGGAACTCCAAGTTCATTGACCTTGAGGTTACCGATGACGTCAAATGTCAGGTCAAAGATAAAATGTTTTTCCGGTCACGGGTCTTCTAAGGAATGCGCTATAACATCGAGTAAAACGCATTACTTCGAAAATATGCGATAGGGCTTCAGTTGGATAGGACATATGCTGCTATTAGAGGTCACTGATAACACCAGGTCAGGTCATAGGTCAGGTCACCAAGGGTCAGCTCATGAACCTAATTTTACTAGGGCTGTGTGATGCATGTTTTATGGCTTTTTTCATTTCAAACTCAATGGTGCTGGTTATAAGACCATCAGGAACGGTTTAGGTCACTTCCTGGTGGAGGTCAGGTCAATGTCAGGTCAAGAAGGTCAAATTTCAAAGCTGATATATTAATTCGATGCAGCTCGTCACGGAGAGTCTAATGGTTGTCTTTTTGTGCTGCGTTGTCTAGAATTGCGAAAAGTTGAGTCTGAAAAGTTGACGTTATCAATTTTGAACAGTTTTTTCGCTCTAACCTGGCCAAAAAAGAGATATCGATCTAAAATGTAGTATGTGACTAGGAACTGGTAAGCGCTATCACATATATTCCGTTTTTTTTTTTAATCGAAAAACTTTTTGGATTTTTCGCAATTATATCCTTTAAGAAATATTTTTAGAGGTTCAAATTCAAAGTTCTAAAATGTCGAGGTAGCTGTTTCGTAGCCCTGGTAATTTTATACATTTTATGTCTGAAAGGTTTTTCTGTAGGCTTCAAAGCTAAAGGCTTGACAGCTCTTCCTGCGAAATCTTTTTTTGGGTCGAAAACGGCAGAACATGACGTCACTCTAACGACATTTGCGGCCAACCTATCAAAGCCTTTGGAAAAGTTTTGGTCAAAATATGTATACCTAATTGATGCCCGGGAGGGTACTAAAAGTTTGGTGACATCGGCGCAGCAGTTCTGGGGATATAGGTATTGAAAGTCAGGAGGGGGGGGGGGGCAAAAAAATAGCCCCCCCCCCCCCGCCCCCCCCCCCCCACCAGGGCTCGGGTTAACTCACGCTAATGTGCATATCAATGCCTCTGCTATACGTTTATTGCGACAAATTTGAAAACTGATTCAGGACGGGCAGTTTTTCGGCTCGAATTTGAATCATAATTATACCCAGAACAATCATTTCGGTTGCGAGTATTTTGGCCAGTGCCATGCTAACAATGGTGCTCATAGGGTTTGATAAGCATACATATACGCTCAATGTCTTATCGTAAAATAATATGTTGCTTTCATGTAATCAATGTGGTTTTATTCACACACGCTTTTGAGATGGTGTCGCTTATATCCATAGACCCTTCAGACTTTTATTTTCTCGGTAGTATTTTCTGATGACCATTGTATGACATTCGTGATATTGCAGACCGACGCTTGCTCAATTAGCCTATTTTTCAACAAGCTTGCTGCTTTTGACGTCCCGAGTTGTTTACTGTCTGCTTATCGGGCAATGTGCTGTAATAGCTGGATGGAAGTTCAAGGAAGCGGCCGTGTCCTTGCCCATTTTGTCACCCAACGTAACTGATCGAACACTGTCAATCAGCGGAAATACAATGAACCTAGTAGTCTTAGTACCTACCTGTAGCTGTATGTTGGCTGTGCGCCCGACGCGACTATGTGATGTTCAATAAACTTTGCGGAGTGTGACGAATGTGTCTGTGCTTATGCACTCTTATAACTATTAACCCTAGAACGCCTAGGGGGGGGGGGTTGTATCAACCCCCCCTGAGGTTTTTCGAAGTGCACGCTAAACGGCTTGTTGTAGCAGGCTGAAATTTTCAATACCCTCTGGGGCAACCTTTGCGCATCTTTTGCCGAAAAAAAATTGATCGGGTCATGTCAGGTCACGGAGTTATGACGTCATAAGAGGTACAGCCTCCGGCCGACAGTTACCAAATGTGTGCGCCGAATCCCTAGGTTTTCTGCCGGTGCTACCCACATTGTTTGATGGATCATGATGAAACTTGCCATGCATGTTGGGGCAAGCATTGGCTATCGTGTGGTGCAAGAAAATTGACCGGGTCAGGTCAGGTCACGGAGCTATGACGTCACAAGAGGAACAGCGTCCGGTACTATTTTTGAAAAGCGCCCGAACCACTATTTTGCTAATTCTTGTCACCTCAATGGGAATATGCAGCAATATTAGCTTCTATAGGGAGCACATGGACCTCCCAAATCCAAAAAGACAATCAGATTTCAAAAATTTAAATTTTGATTTTTCGAATTTCTGCCGCCGACTGTGACCTTGCCGACTTCCGGCGCTCCCAACGCGCCATTTTTAGAGCTAGGGAAACGAAATACATACCAAACGATAGAGAATTGATCAAGGAACACGATAGTGAAGGTTTCAAGTCGATATCTCCCACCGTTTTGCCGCAATCGCCGCGGAAAGTTGAAAAAGTTTGATTTTTTTCGGAAAATTTGACCTTTGACCGGTCATAAGTAGGTCAAATGTTGACCTAGGACCAAAAAAATATACCACCAATCGCGAGATCTCGTTGAGAGCAATCCGTTGTTTTTTTCCGCTAAGCTCTACGACCTTCCGTTTCGAAACGCCAGGGGGGGGGGGTCGTAACAACCCCCCCCCTGGTCGTTCGTGTTATGAGAAATGGCCTGGTCGTGCGAGGGTTAAAATGGTACATCTCAACGTTGGCTACGTTTCTTTGCGGAGATAAAATTTTTAATTTATCCGCTCTCCCATTTAAGTACATACCTACAAAAAATGTCCTCGCAAGCATGACGTAGGCTCTATAGTCTATACCCTCGTAACCCCCCTCCACACGCCCACACCCATATGAGTTAACTATGCCTATTTACCTGCTTACAGCTTATATAAATGCTACTTTTGAGAGGGTAACAATTAAGGCATCCATACCTATTCATCAATCAAAGATTTAGTTATTCATTCAGTAATATAGCACCTTTTTGCTATTGACAGTATTGATTGTCGTATTTGTTTAGCTAGGTGAGATTCTTTTGGTCTATAGAGACCACTTCACGATATCGGCTGAGATAAGTATGTATGTACCTAACATGTAAGTACCTGCTCCAGAAATATAACGTAGAGGGCTGAGTCGACCCTCAGGCTGGGTAGCTACAGCGGCTCAGCTCATTCCGTTGGGATGAGGGTGTCACGAAACTGTTGGTCAGACCGCCCAGTCATTCAAACGGACACTCCGAAGGGTTATGGTAGGGTTCCTTCCGTAGGTATCTGCATTCTGCTCAGCCCTCTCTCGGTTGTCAAGTGGGTCAACTGTGGTGATCGGTAGCCCAGACAAAGTAGTGTTGGGTGGATTGCGAAGGATTCTACCCTGAGAGGACCAAGGGCGGCGCCACCGTGGGGGCAGTGGGGGCAGACTGCCCCCACTGGCAGGAGGCCGTGGGGGCAAGACTATGTTTTTGCCCCCACAAAATTTGGCTGATGTTGAAATAGGAACAGAAGACCGGTGTAACATGCATGATAGGTGGTTATGTATAATAGTTCGCCTGTTTTTGACAGTCCCCGTATCAAGTGCATCAGCAGAGTATCCTTGCTAGAGGCTATTTCACTTATTCAAGTCAGGCATAATAATTAAGACATGTTTTGCCATCCTGAGACTCTAAATTAATGCTTAGAGCAAAATGGATGCCAGAATCGTGATCAGCGGCTACGAAGTCATCACAAACGACTTTTCATGTGTCAAAGTCAACGAAAGGTCATTCGAGGTCACATAAGGTCAACATAAAACTTGACCTTTTCCAAACAATATATAGGTAAGGGGCCTAATTAGCGACCCTTTCCTATTTGCGACCTACCTCCCTACAGAAAAACTGGTAGGAGAAATTGGGGTAAAAACATTGTCAAAAGGTGAGGCATACTTTGGTTATCAAACTAAATTATTTTCCGGTTGTCGGTGTTTCTGGTGGGACGTTTCAGGTGAGTTAAAATAAAAAGACGAATTTCTTATCCAAAACGTGTGTATTTGGGCCCTCTCTGAGTAAAAGTGATGCCCATTAGGATGATGCACCTTGTTTATTCTGAAAGGACAATCCTTTTTCAATTGATTTCCGTTTTCCCATAGTGAATCGCTTAAAGGGACCCTCCCACCTTAACATTAGTTTTGAGTTGAGATAGCCAAATTGGTGGCCATGGCCTGAAAATACCGGTTTGGGCATTCACAACATCGAAAAATGCTTTAATTCGGAGATATGGAATTTCAAACTTGCAGTTTTCGGATTCTAAGGGGCTAATGCATTGGTATGCCCCCTTAGAATTTGTGACGTCAGCGGAGATCTAACGATTTTTAAATCTTTTACTAAAACGTTTGGCAGCACGCGGTGGTATATGCTGCTTTGCGCGCAACAAATGCCGCACTTTCAAATAAAGTCGCTAGGAACAGCGGAGATCCCAAAAAGTAAACAAAAGTAAAAGTCTAATATCTTGAAAACCGGTGAATATTTTTCGATGAAATTTGGTAGATATTCATTTTTGCTCCTTCTGAACCGAGCGACATCACTTTTATGCCAATTCATTAACTTTTTTGAAGGTGGGAGGGTCCCTTTAACTGTGCACTGCATGGTGGTTAGAAATGTGTTGCAACTCATATTTCCTATTTGCGCCCGACATGGTCGCAAATAGCTCAAAAAGGGAAAGACAGGGGAAAGAGAGAAATGAAAGTGACGTGTTGCTGAAGATTGCAATGTGTGGCGGGAGATGCCAAACGTCTTCACCAAATGTAGGGTTGCCGAATCCAGCGCGGGCCTCGAATATCATACGAGGTAGCCCGCAAAATTTGGGTTTTCGCCTTCTTTTCGCCTTTGGGTGCATTACGTGATTAGTTTTTACTTACGTAAACTTGTTGGATAAACGTTCCTGTTCGAGTGATTGAGTTCTTTGCGTATAGGTTACCTTTTTGGGTTCATATTTCTTTTTTTCAGGCGTCGCATTTTTTTGCCATTTTTAATATGGGAAAACCAATAGTCTTATTAGCGACCCTCCCCGATCGCTAATCGGGACGAGTTCCCTATTAGCGTTTTTTTGCAATGGTTTGCGAAAATGCTCACTACAAACAAATTAGTGGATATTGGGGCAGAAAATGACTAGATTTTAACAGAAAAATGAACGATCTCTCCGAAAATCAAGCCAGTAATACAGTGGCACCCATAGAGCGTGAGCAATGACTGTTCAAATTAAGGGGGTCGCTAGTTTGGCACCTTACCCTATGTCATTCGACGCGTCTCGACGAGACGAATGCGAAGGTACCACTGCCGTAGGTCTAGGACCATTTTTGTTATTTGCGGAAAAAAAACTAAAGCCTCAGCTCGCTCGGGGTCGTTGACCTGACCTCTGACCTCAGGTCACCAAAGTTACTAAAGTATTTTTTTCTAGGTCAAATGCTACACGACCGTGCTCGTTATTTGTCTCTATCTCTAAAACTCAATTTTTGGCAGCTAGTTGAAGTTCACATCTGTGACGCCGAAGTTTGCCGTGCAGGAGTCTAGAAAAATCGGCCCTGAGACGTTATCAAGAAGGCTAGGTCCAATTTGTTTTGCTTCAAAAGATTTCAAAATAATGGGGGATAAGGTACACCAAGTTTGGTCTTGCTACTCCTAAGCGTTCATGAGGTATCGCAAATATTCGCCAGGGGAGGAGAAAAACGCCCCCTTCCCCCGTTCCGGGCCCGCGAGGGTTAACCCGCGCCCTGGTGGGGTCTGTTTATAACGCGAGCTGGTGGGAGGGGGGGGGGGGCTATTTTTTGCCCCCCTCGTATCTCCGAAACTACTGGACGGATCCGCAAAATTCAAACGGCGTTCGAAAGGCCTGTCAAATTTGTCAACGGAAACCAAATTTCATTGACCTCGGGGTCACCGATGACGTCACAGGTCAGGTCAAAGATGAAATGTTTCACCGTTCACGGGTCTACTAGGGAATGCGCTATAACACCGAGGAAAACGCATTTTGTCGAGAATCAGCGGTAGGGCGTCAGTTGAGTAGTAGATATGTTGCTATTAGAGGTCACTGACAATACCAGGTCAGGTCACAGGTCAGGTCACCAAGGGTCACAGGTCAGGTCACATGAACCCAACTTTACTAAGGTTGTGTGAGGCATGTTTTATGGCCAATTTTTCATTTCCAACTCAATGGTGTTGGTTATAAGACTTTCAGGTACGGCTTAGGCTACTTTCTGGTGAAGGTCAGGTCAACGTCAGGTCAAGGTCAGGCCAAAAAAGGTCAAATTTTAAAGTTGATAGTTTTGCATAAAATGGGTATTGATTCGATGCAGCTCGTCACGGGGAGTCTAATGGTGGTCTTTGTTTTGCGCTACGGGGTCTAGAATTGCTAAAAATTGAGTTTGAAAATTTGACGTCATCAATTTTGAACAGTTTTTTCGCTATAACTTCGCCAAAAAGAGAGGTATCAATCTAAAATTTGGTATGTGGATGGAAGGCGGTAAGGACTATCACATATATTCCGTTTTTTGCGAAATTCAAAAAGCTTTTTGGATTTTTCGACTATTATATCCAAAAAATCTATTTTTTGATTTTTTGGGGTCAAAATAAAAAAAAAATAAAAAATCCAAGATAGCAGTTTTGTAGCCCTGTCAATTTTACAGCTTTTATGTGTTTATCATTTTTCTGTATTTGCAAAGCTATAGGCCTGACAGCTCTTCCCGCGAAACCCTTTTTTTGGTCGAAAACTGCAGAACATGACGTCACTCTGACGTCATTTCCGGCCAACCTATCATAGCTTTTGGAAAAAAAAATTTGGTCACAAGGTGTAAAATTGATGTCCGGGAGGGTACTGAAAGTTTGGTGACGATCGGCGCAGCGGTTCTGGAGATATATCGAAAAGTCTGGGGGGGGGCAAAAAATAGCCCCCCCCCCACCAGGTCGCGGGTTGATGCTTAAGCTCAATACGTATGCATGCTTAAAATCTGAAACCATAATAATCTTTAATTGGCAACATCTAGGGGCAGGGAGCTCATGGATTTTGCAGATCGGGGTATCAGACAACAGTCGGGTCACCTCAGGCTTGCCCCCACTGGCGAAAACTCGTGGCGCCGCCACTGGAGAGGACGGATGCATTTTCATAATAGGTAAGGTGGGGATCTTATCCGTGATCGCCACATTACCTACATGCTTACGACATTGCTCACTGACTACGATAAGAAACACACGCCATGCCACAATGCTTAGTCTTTTATTGGCAACCCTGGTTGCATTCATAATGGAAACAAAACAACTGACATGAATACCGCCCTCGCGCGGTAAGTTTTATGGCGTCGGCCGACAGTAGGTACAGGTGTCTCGGTGCGCCCAGTGGAGCTCTATCGTACAGGTGCACCGTGCACGACGAATGATGACTGGTGCTGCCACCTACACTGCGCTCTGCCTGCCACCTGCCGGCTAGGAATGGCGGCTTGCCGACGTCGGTCTGCAGCGCCGACAAATGAAAGACTGCAGTCAACCACCCCGACTAGAGTAACGACAACTGAGACAAAGACAAAACCGTACTCGACGACGCTCCACGCACATTGAACATAAGACATCGGTACAAAACGCGCGCGCCATACTCGCCGACTGACTAGAAAACGCCTGATGTCGGTATAGAGCCGGGCTCGCACGCCTGAGGTCAGCGAGTCCCTTCTCTCAGAGACGGGTTGTGAGCGATGCCACCACCACAGTCCAACGCATGCCACCGCGCGATCCACGTTTGGTTCACATCTTTAGAGCTACACGCGACGGCCTAAGTGTAAATATACGTGTGACGCCGGTGGGCGCGGACGGGCGCGGGCGGCGGTAACCGTGAGCTCAGCGCCGCCGCGCTGATGAGAAGTCCCTCCGCCGGCCGCACTGTCCCCACTGGCGGGGCCAGTGTGCTGCCTGAGAGACGCACTGGCCGGCCGCCGGCCGCCGGCGAATCGACAACAGTGCACCGGCCTAGACCGCTCCAAAAATAACACCTTTCTGGGCACGCATGCACGGCAAACGGTATGTGCCCGGTTATTGCTGGTTTGGCTAGACAAGCGACGCCGGCCCTACGGTGCTGGCTGCATTCAGGAACATCTCAGTCACCCGCACACACAGAGACAGTCGCTCGCTCTCAGTCGCCCGCCTCCTCAGCCTCTCTCAGTCACAGTCAGTCGGCCGGTGGGCCCCGTGTACCGCGCAGTCGCGGCAGAGAGGGGCATCGGGCCGGGTCGGATCCACATCCCCCAGAGAGCGGCTGCGCCGGCGCAGTGACCCTCTGGGCCCGGCCCGCGGCGGGCTGGCCGTGATACGAGCAGTCGCTCCTCCCGCCTCTAGTGACTGAGTGCGCCGTGCGCGGTTACCAGTGCTGACGGCGGGCTCCCGTCTCTCTGCCCAGCTGCCCCCGCGGCGCAGTTCGCCCAGTCCCAGCTGCCGACGGAGGGCCGGTCGACAGCCCGTCTCCGGGCCGGACAGCCTCCGTCGCTCCGTCAGCGCGCTCGGCCCGCTGTCCACCTCATACCTGGTCGCCGCCTCGTGCACCGGCGCGAACCTCGTGGGGCCGGCACACGCCGCCGGGAGGTCTGTCCCGGCTGTCGGCGGGGGCGGGGGCGGGGGCGGGGGCGGCTCGGGCCAGAGCGGCGGGCGGCCGGCGCGTGCCGCCCTGCCGAGCCGTACCGCCCCCAGTCGCGGTCATGGCCGGCGCGGTGGCTGTCAGCTGTCTGCCGAGAGGCGAGGCGTGATCTGACAGTTGGCCAGGCTGTACTGCAGGTTGTCCCAGCCGTCACCGGCGGCTGCGTCCTCAGCGATCGGCTGGAAGTGAAGCTCGGGCTGCAGCAGCTCGGCAGCCACAGCGGCCGGCTTGTAACAACAACGAGGTCTGGAAAAGAGCAGATGGAGAGCTTCGGTTACTGGAAGCAGAAGGCACACAGACTCGTGTGGGGGAGTTCCGTGGAATCGCGACTGTGACATATGTGAAGCCATTGAGTTCCTTTAAATGAAAAAGTTTTTCCTTGGCATTAATGTTATAACCTCCGTCGAAGGTTGCAAAAGTTGAATAATTTCTCATACCTTCAAGCAATCATACAAAAGATAAGAGTCAACGCTCCGCTGGCATGCATCCCTCCCAAAAAATACAATGCATGTTTTCCACCCGGAACTCAACATCTCGTAGTAAGTAACGGAGCGTATGCGTTTGCTGGAAAGAATGCCTGACAGATAGACTGTACCGCCAGACACGCTTGTACTGCGGCACAGTCTACGCACAGGCACTCGCCGAGCACCCATACAGCGCGATGAAGAGCGCTCGCAAGATACCGACAAAACAGTCACTTTTATCACGATTTAAGCAGGATCAACTTACTAAAAAGAGCATTGGTAATTCCTCGGATCGATGCCAGTTTAGCGCAAACTTGTCTCTCCATCCGACAGCTTTACATGCACTCAACGCTTTCCCATAGTGCAGTTGACTGTTATCGAAGACCGACGCCTAGCAACCGGTTCAAAGTGTCAGCTCTGCAATGGCGGTGTATGAGCCGGGGGCGGCGTCGGAAGCGGAGCGGCGGGGTGGTGGGGGCTGGAGCCTCACCTGGGAGGCCGTTTGAGCTGGCCGTGCCGCTGCCGGGTGACCTGGGCGCGCAGACAGGCGTGCTCCTGCTGGAGACAGCTCAGCTCGGTGAAGCCGCCGGCCTTCTGGCCCTGGTTCAGACGGTGACTAAATGCCACCAGACCCTGCCGACAGAACAGCCGTGCCGTCAGCGAGCTCCGCACACACACACATTACTGGCGGGAGTCCTGAACAACGGGACAGGGCGCCTGTGCAAACGTCATAGCTGTCAGCAGGCTACAACTGTGGGAATGGGCTGGTGGCGCCTGAGAAACGCTGCACTTGCACTGAGCACAGTTCAACATTTTCTCATGTTCACTTTTAGGGTTCTTATACGTCTGAATATGAAGAAAAATTAGCACATTCAAAAGTGTTACCCAACTGTTGCAGATTTGCATGCAAGCAAGTTCTTGCTATTGATAGTTTCATATTTTATTCAGACGAATAAGACGCAAAATTATTCCAAATATAATGAAGATAGACGTTATTCAAATATAAAACACGATCAATATAACCGTTGGCGCGCCCACCGGCTACCAGTGCAGCGAGGCAAGCACTCAGTCCGGCGAGTGTGGGACCTCACCTGAGAGGCGACAAGGCCATCCGAGGCGCGCCGGCCCTCGCGGAAGCTGACGGGCGAGCGCCGGCCGCCAGCCGCCGTCTCCAGCGGGTTGTGACGCACACTGTGTCGGCAGGCGAGCGTCGGCCGACACGGCGGCTTGGCCAGCGCCGGTGGCTGGTAGCACGAACTCGAGCTGCTAAACATGTCCGGCTCCATCTGCGAGTCAAACGACTCGAAGTTGTTGGACTCGGTGCTAGTGACGGAGCCGAAGGGCGACTCGGGCGCCAGCGCGCCGTCCGACGGTTTCCTCGCCACCGGCGGGTGGCGGACGCCCGCGCCGGACGCCCCCGTCGGCGCCGTCGACGGGAGCAGCTCGTCGACAATGTCCACCTCGACGCCCTCGTCGAAGGAGGGCGCTCCACCGTCGCCGGGCGCGGGGGCGGGGGTCGGCTCGGCGGTGTCTGGTCCGGCAGTGAGCCGCGCCGCCTGTTCGGCCACGCTGCTGGGTCTCCGGCGAGCCAGGCCGCAGCCGGCAGGGCACGGATAGCTGCTGCGGTGGTGGCGCAGCCGCTCGTCCAACAGCAGGTAGATGCCCGCGTGGTGATCGTACGCGTGACGCAGTACCGACTGCGAACAGAGGACGGTAAATAACGGTCAGACGGGACGGAGAATGCGCCAAGAACAGTCAGAATGGTCCGGAAAACGATTGAGAACAATCACCTGAACGGTGAGCGAAGGGGACGATCAGATGGGACTGAGAATGACATGTCAAACGGGACGGAACAGAGAAAGGCCTGATTCATAGAGAAAGCAGAACATCAGAAAAGTCTTCACTTATTCCAAATAGTACCCACAGAATTCTTCACTTTTATCGTGCACTGCATCAGCTTTTAGCGCGCTGTATAGATGCACCATCTAGTAGTGTGCTCACGCACAAACTATCATTAGATCTTAATTTCGAAGCTTCTGTCGTTTCAACGAAATTACATTTTACGTATTCTTCCATTTTCAGACTCACACAGGAAGAGGACTAAGAATCACGTGCATTGTATAATGCTTATTAGGTGATATGCTTTGGCACCTAAATGAAACCAAGTCTGCTGTAGGCAAGAATACAGCTAACTCGAACGTCAGGAAATGTGATAATGAACTACAGAGGTGCAGTTTCATCCAATAATTGGGGATACCCGCTCCTACAGATCTTCGTTTCGAACTACGCACAATACAATCCTGTTGTCCGAAGATCTTGCACGCATAATGACCGCTGGCGTCTATTATAGAAATCCGGTCCATGTAGGCTGAGGACCGTCTATTAATAACGACTAATTCCTGGGCTGAGCCCCGGGCAAATTGTGTTGATTGCGTCACAGAGTCGCAGGGACTCGGACAAGAATAGCCTAGCTGAATGAAATACTAATACCGTTTGATATCAGAGTCCCGGATCGGGAATGCTGGCCGACTGGGGACTGACGTCACCTAAATATGTTGGCTAGAACGAACGGTCGGCGTCGAAAGACCGTTCGGACACACCGGAGTTTAGGGTCACTCGTACAGGGGCTTTGTGGTTCTGTTAGGTATATCTATCATACGAGCCTTTGGGGTTTCCAAAGTCCAAAGGGAATCCGCAGCACACATTGGACCTGGATTTGTGATTCCGTGATGCATTTCGAGCAAGGGTCAGTGGGAGATTCCAGCTGATTTTTTCCATTCAGACTTTTCCTTATTATACTGTTCTGTAGCTGTGCCCCGGAAATGAAATAAGTGGACGGCGATTTTTCCATACGCCTACCCCTTCCCTGGATGGATATTCTTCAGCCACCTGAACTGTCATGCCAATTGTGACGTCCCTTCTCCTGTCATGTGACGCCACCCCACCTATCACCTGTCTCTCACCTGTCGTGTGACGGACGTATCGATGCCGAGGCCCTGCATCACTCTCAGCACGTGCTCGTTGATTTCGGTGGGTGGCGGTGGCGGCAGAGGCGCCGGGGGCGGTGAGCCCGTCTGTAGCCACCGGTGACGAAGGACCTGTGACAAGGTGAGCCGCCTCGCCGGGTCCACCACCAGCATCTTCCGCACCAGACTCTCACAGTCTGTGGAGAAACAGAGACAGGGTGGAGGTTACAAAGTGGTCGGAGAGTGGGTGGGTACTGGGCATGAAGAGAAAGTATAACGGTTGTGGCGGGACCGAGTTTAGTGTAAAGAGTTAAGCACGACTCCTGTGTATTCTGTATGCCAAATACATAATGAAAGGCACTAAATGTGCTAAAGATATGATAAGCCTGCGATATTGCAAATGCGAGCATTCGAAGTCAGCCTATTAGCCACTCGTATCGTACACTCAAAACTCAAATGATTCCTTTTTTGGTGTAAATGGGGTGTGGTCTAAAACGATACCCACTTTACGCCCTACTTAGACCAGAAGAACACCATCTTAACCCTCTCGAAACACCAAACATACACCCTGTACACCTGTCGAACACCGTTCATACACCCCTCTTGCACCCTTTTAACACCACCAGTAAACCAATATGACACCCGTATCATACCCACTTGCACCGAGTTTACACCCCCTGAACCAGCTTTATGCCACCTTTGCACCTTATGTGCACTCTTTTTACTCTTGTGCTACACCACCTTGCATCCATTTTACTCCTGTTCTACACTCCCTTTGCACCCATTTTACTCCTGTTGTACACCCCCTTTGCACCAATTTTACTCCTGTTTTGCACCCTCTTTGCACCCATTTTACTCCTGTTCTACACTCCCCTAGCACTCACGGTACACCCGGCTAGCACCATCCATGCACCGCTCCCCAACACCACCGCTCCCCACCTTTTTCATTTGCAGACCCGTCACCAAAGTCAGCCAGCTGGTGCAACATTTATTACAACGAAACTTAAAACGAAACGCATAACTAAACTTAGCGCATACGAAACTTAGCGCGGCCGCCCAGCCGCGGTGGCCGACTATGACGAACAGTTTCAGTCTATCTTGAAGGAACTGCTGGTCTTGGATGTCGGCCGGGGGCCGCTCAGTGGCTAGGAGTAGCACTCTGATTTCTTGGCGGTCCCTTGTTTGATAGTTCTCGTTGATAAGCCTCTGTTGAGAGAGGTAGTTCCGCCGCTGCTGGTTGAACTCGGGCGGCGGGAGCACCAGCGGAGGTGGGCCGTCCATGGGGCGCTGAGAAGCCCAACCCGGCCGAGGTGTCGAGTCTGGTTGCGATGGCTGGGCAGCGCGGCCCGGCCGGGGCGGCTGTAAAAGAGTCGCCACTCGGCGGGCGAGCTGTTCCAGCTGGTCGTCACGGCGTGTCGGCTGCTGAGAGTCGTTGGCGCGATGTGGAGGGCGTACCTGGGCAGTCGTTGCCCATCCGCTCCTTGGAAGGGCAGAATCTGGCCGCGGGTAGGCACCGTGGTGCGTCCCGCTAGGCCAGAGGGAGATCCTGCGTCGCACTCCGCACTCACAGCCCACTTAATAGAGGTTTTCACTTTTCACCACCTAGCACTTGGGAAGCTCCCCTCGTCGGAGCGTCCTGAGTCGCGGTCACGGCGAAACTGAGCCGTTAACGGCGGCCGAGGGCCCGCGCAGGGGCCTAGGCCGCTTCCCATTGGTCGGCCGCGCTGACGTCATGTCGGCAGCCGTTAGAAAGCGCGCGAAAAACGGCGTTGCTTCCTTGTTCAATGAGTGTAAAAGGGGTGTTTCCAGAAAGTTCTTATCCCGATCTATTCCCTTATTACACCCCGATCTGGGCATCGCCATATGGTGTACAGATAGTGTTTCAACGATGGTGTTCGTATAGTGTAAAAAGGGTGTTTCCAGAAAGTTCTTATCCCGATCTATTCCCTTATTACACCCCGATCTGGGCATCGCCGCCCTAGGTGTACAGGTGGTGTTTCAACGATGGTGTTCGTATAGTGTAAAAGGAGTGTTTCCAGAAAGTTCTTATCCCGATATATTCCCTTATTACAACCCGATCTGGGCATCGCCATATGGTGTACAGATGGTGTTTCAACGATGGTGTTCGTATAGTGTAAAAAGGGTGTTTCCAGAAAGTTCTTATCCCGATCTATTCCCTTATTACACCCCGATCTGGGCATCACCTAGGTGTACAGATGGTGTTTCAACGAGGGTGTTCGCCTGGTGTATTGATGGTATATTTAGCGGATCGGTGTATGAGCGGTGTTAAAAAGGTTCATGGGTGCAAACAGGGACTAACAACGGTGTATAATGGGCATCAGGTTGGCGTACTTCTGGTGCATATCTGGTGTAAAGTGGGTGTAATCCCAACTTAAGGTGTCAATGGGGTGTAAATCGTGTTTTCAGTGTAGTGCTCTTGCAACGCTCAGTGGAAAATTGGCGTAATATTTCCGGTGTCATTCGGTCAGGTCAGTCCGTCAACCGAATCCACAACTTTAAATCAAACCTTCAAGAGTCATCAATCGACTGAATGGCCTCCAGTGCATGGCAGTTTATAGAATCCAAACTTGCAGACCATTGTGCACCGCCCAACAGCACTGGCATTTCACCATATCGACTGCACAGCGGAAGGAGGGGGCGCAGAGGGTCACATATATCGACCGGGGGTTGAGCACGCACCGACCGCCTGATTGCAGCTTGTTAGTCGGTCAGAGTTCAGCGACACACATCGATCGCTACTGGCACAGAGTGTAGCCACTTATCACGGCGGCGCGCAGACGCGGTGCCGACACGCAACTGGGTGGAGGTGCATCAGTGCTGGAATCTCTGAATGGTCTGTGTCCATGCCTGGAACTTTGAAGGAAGCGGAATAGATGAGACTGAACAAATGAATGAGCATTTGACACCGTTCCATGCTTCTATCCTCAGGATACTGAAATCCTTCTCCTCCACGCCATAAACCCCTCCGGGCTGGACAGGCAACTTTATCTCATGCGGGCTGCTCCCTTGGAGCGGCACCGCTGCTCCCGAGGGAGCGCACCCCGTAGCCGGGTGCAGTGAGTGCCTTGGGGCTGGGTGGCCTGTCCTCTGGACGGGCTCAGCCCCGGCGACTCACTAGGGTGCCTGCCCAGACCAATGTCTCCCCCTACATCCTATCATCCTCCCAGCTCTGAAATGGTCTCATTGGACCGAAAGGGCCTAACCCAACAAAACAAAGAAACAAGAATGAGCAAGATGGGAAGGGAATACTTTTCTTAACGTCAAGAGCGGAGACAATTGATGCAATTTCGCACCGCGTCACTAGCTGATAGCAAGAATCATTCCCGTTTACAGATTCAAGAGGCATAAGCAACTGCCTGAATACGTGCATCTATAGATACATTCATATCAGTGTGGCCTTTTGCTGAGAATTGCACGACGCGACGCTCTGGATTTCCATGCACATCCATCCCACGCAGAGTCCGCGGCCCACGGCGCTGTCGGCCCGGCTTTGGACGACAGCCGGTGTTCCGCCTCCGCTACCTCTCTCCGAGCTAGGTGTGGGCGGGGAGAGGCTGCTCCGTCTGCTCCTGGAATAGCGACAACGGCTCCAGCTGCGACCTTATAGACGCCGACGTCTGCGACCCTTATAGACAATGGCCAAAAGACGACTGCGACCTAGACACCGAGCGAGAGACGACTGCAGCCGACCAAGAGACGTCTGCCAAGCTAGTTAGACACCGATCAAGAGACGATTGCGACCCAATAGACGCCGACCAAGATACGTCTGCGAAGCTAGACACCGACCAAGAGACGACCGCAACCAGGATACCAAATAAGAGACGACGGTGACTCACATAGACGTCAACCGAGAGAAAATTACGCCCTTATAGACACCGACCAAGAGACGACTGCAAACCTTGTCACCGACCAAGAGACGACCTCGACCACGACCACCAACGCAACAAGGTTGATTCGAGGATTACGCCGTCTGTTGACTGTTCGGCTAAATCAAGAACTGCACCGGACTCCAATGAGTCACAGACGTCATCAGACGTCATCAGACGTCATAAAGCACCGGCAGCCGGCGTCAATAGCCGCCCACGCGATGCCGCCCCCGGCCCCGCCCGGATGTCGCCCAAAAGGCACCGGCTGGACAAGACAGGTCAACCGAGTGGGACGGTGGACAGAGCTTGGAAAGAGAGAGGGAGAGAGAGAGGGAGAGAGCTACAGCGGGAAAGGCGTTCAGGCGAGCTGACCTTTAACCGAAGCGGCTATCTGGGCGCTGGAAATGATAGGTTTACATTAGGCGGCCCATTGGTCGCACGGATCTTTCCAAATGCCCGTGATTATTTCTCACGGAAAGTACAGCGATCATTTTGCCGCTAAACTTCCGTCCAAATATTCCATCATTATGACAGCCTTTCAGCAGCACAGCTCATCTGAAAGCGATGCATTCTGACTGAAACGTCCCACACGCTATTTCACTTTATGAACAAATCCAAACCGATATCCCTCCGAATCTATTTTCCGAAGATATCCTCTGATAAGCGTGTCAGCCCTTGATTCGATGAACATATCCTTCAAACATCGGCGAGGCCGCAGGAAAATATGACGTCATTTCAGGGTTCAGTGGGCCGACTAAGTACCGAATGGCAGCTCCGACGGCTATATCGTCGGAGAGGAGGGCGGCTGGCGCAGCCCGGGGCGAGTGGCTCCTGACCGCAGCAGAGGGGGTCGGGGAGAGGGGTAGAGGGGAGGGGAAGCCGCCAGTCGGTGACGACATGGGACAGAAATAGTCCGCAGATGGTGCCAAATAGGGCAGGGCTTCTTTCGTCGTGGCCCATTTCGAGTTCGTAGAAGAAAATGTTATCGGTAATGTCAAAAGGCATTTAATCGCCTGCATGCAGTCAGCAGTGCCATTAACACATAATGATTTAACCGTTTATGTACAATCGTTTTATAATACAAAGAATTCAATTCCGAATTACACACCAATGTATATTTAGCTTCGTTGCAAAAGCATGCAACTATAAGCTTAATGAATCGCTAAATCGCTAAAATCTTCAGTCAAGTTAGCAGCCATTCGCCATTCATTTCCAGGCCAGCCATTGCCACATCACGATGTGTGGCATCTCGGCAGCAGACGGCCCACGCACTCCCGGGGGCTGCCAGTTCCAGTGACCTTTACCGCCGGAGCCCGTGGGGACCGGGGGCGCTGACAATGGCCCCGTGGCCAGCACGCCGCCCAGGCGCTGTATTTCGGCCACCCAATGCGTCATTAAGGCGTCTATAAAGGGACGCCGGCAGCCAGCCGCTTACGCTCTGATTAAAAATCCTGGCCAGATGACGTCAGCGGTGAAATGACGTCAGCGGCGCGCACCGTCGGCGTCGGCAGCTGCCCCCCCCCCCCCCTCCCAACGTCGGGAGCGACGACCGACGGCTGCGACGAGCGGCCCTCCGCGGCCCACGCCAGGATAAAGTCTGCCTCGCCTCCGCAAGCCGTTTTGAAGCATTAACCTCATAAACCCTAAATTTGACATTCCTCCAATTGAATGGCCCTGCACGTGGGCAGCCTTGTTCAATGCTTCAGACAGTAAATCGACAATAAATGCGTGACCCACGCATACACGGTCTCCAGCTGGTCACCAATCATACTATTGCCGAGCTGTTTCATAGTAATATCATTTCTGGCATAGCCCGTCGGGCGTCGAGCCGTTGAAGCGATTGCCCAGCACACGTTGACAAAAATAGCTTTCAGTTCGCCGTCGGGGATTTTCGCTGCCCGGTCCAGGCTGGCAGAGGCGTTTTCAGACCGCCCACTGAGCGAAGGCTGGGTCACTGGAGACCAGCCGTTCAAATCAGAAGTAAACTATAGGCTGGTCGGTCGTCATTCGCCAGAGAAAGATGGATAGAGAAGAATGCAACTGGGGGATGGAGGATGCAGGGGGGGGGGGAATAGCCCAGAGTGGATGCGACGAAAAGGTGATAACTTACAGCGAAGAGAGAAAGAGAGAGAGAGAGAGAGAGAGAGAGAGAGAGAGAGAGAGAGAGAGAGAGAGAGAGAGAGAGAGAGAGAGAGAGAGAGAGAGAGAGAGAGAGAGAGAGAGAGAGAGAGAGAGAGAGAGAGAGAGAGAGAGAGTGAGAGGACATAGGGTTGAACACTTGCCTGTGGACATGAAGAATGGTATCCTGAACCTGCCGGCCAGCACGCGATCTCTGAGAACCTGCACAGAGCTGCCCTCGAATGGCAGAGCACCGCAGACGAGCACGTATAACACCACGCCGAGACTCTGCCGGGGAGAGAGGGAGGGAGGTCAGACACTCTGTCAGGAGAGAGGGAAGAGGGAGTTCACTGGGTCAGGGAATTTTCCGACACAGAAATAACGCCCTGATAAGAGCAGTGAGCAGACGGCTTGCCACTCAACTTCGAAAATCAATTAGAGAAATAAATTTGAAAACTCTAACACCGATTATTATTCTTGAATGAAATTTCCAGTAGACAGCTATCACTTAGTTTTAAATTTCATTATATTCTCAAATCACACTCCACATAACGAAAAGGCTTTGCCGAAGATATAGCCAATTCCCACAGTGGAACGTCGAAGCTGCACAGGTTCTCTGGTGACAGACTCGCGACTGTTCCAGCGTGGGGCAATCACACACCCATAGCTCTCCCAGCGTAGGACCCTCTGTCCCCCACACACCCACGCCTCTTCCAGCGTAGGAACCTTACACACCCACGGCTCTCTCAGCCTGTGACCTTCACCCCGCCCCCCTCAGCTCTTCCGACTGGGCGACTCACCCAGATGTCAATCTCGGGTCCCGTGTAGACCTTTCCCTCGAACACCTCGGGAGCGGCGTAGGGCGGCGAGCCGCACCACGTCGTCAGCGCCCCGTCCGGCTGGAAGAACGTGCTGAAGCCCCAGTCGGCGATCTTGATCTGGCCGCACCCGTCAATCAGCAGGTTCTCCACCTGACAGAGCAACAACAACAGCCGGTTATAGATAACATTTACTTGATATATTCATGATGGCATGGATGAATTTAACACTCACATGATGTTGCAATAGCTCCGATTCGGATCAGGGCTTCATGCGTCAATAACGTTTTCAAATACCCCACGAAGTGATGAACTACGAATCTAAACAACATTAATCTGCAGGACATATGCCAAAGTACATATGTATATGTACAAACTTCAACCGCAAACGGCGGTGCAGATATTGAGAGTCTGTTAAAAGAAACTACACACACAGAAATATTGAGCGATGTCAAGTTCAATATACTCGTAAATAGCTCAATTAGCTTCAAAGTTCTGCTTCACTTAGTAAAATATCTTTAGTTTAAGTATTTTCGTGATAAATAAGCAAGGTATCCGTCGCACAACGCTATAATAAGTAAAGGCATCAAGAATAAGTTTGTTTTTATACGACGTTTATTGGTTAACTAACAAACATCGGCAGTTTTATTACACCACACAAGCATCTTTACGCAAAACAGGATAATGTAACAGCATAACAGATGTTCAAATACCTAACTGATATGTTTCCATGCAAAGCAAGTGTATCCATACGCGAATGAGTGTTGTGTCGCACTGGTAATTGCGGTACACATCCAGAGCACCGTTCGTTTACGTCAACCAGTGTAAATTTAGCGAAATTTTGAGCTATATGCTGACGGCGGCGGCGCCATTTTCGCAATCTGTCAGTTGTGCGCCGGGGACCGCGGGGGCCGGCGGGGGAGTGATGTGGCTGCAGTGCGCAGAGTGGGTTTGCCCATTCTTGTGCGATCAGTGAGATAAAACAGTGCTGTGGTGTTTATCTAGTTCGATAATAAGCTGAGTAATGAGTGACTAAGTGAATAATAAGTGAAATACTGCATTGTGGTCATCGTCCGATAACTGCAATCAAGACCGAGTCTGAAATCTGAAGCGGAGCGACATTGGAGGAGCTGCTGGAAATTATCCAGCTTTGTCGGAGTGCTAAGGTGGGCTTGTAATTTTTCAACTGAGCTGCTGTCGTGTTATGAAAATAATGGATGCACTTTCATGCTTTTCTAGGGTTAATTAGATATAGGTATGCTAATATTTTGCCAGATAGGCAACAGAGAGCCGATGGCTAATTAAATGAACGATAATTTTGGCACAGTGAAGTAGTGCGTACAGATGATATATTTTTTATTTATTAATTAATTACGGGCAGTTGACGGGAGACGGGCGGTGGCTGCGACCTGTAGCGGCGCCCATGCGTTGTGAAATATCAGCTTATATACATGATAAGGTATATACGCTAATCTAACTTTTATTTCCGTCAGATGTGATGTCAATTCTTAACAATAAACGACAAACAAACAAACGTGTTTGCAGCATGGGGTAGGCATTGAGCATCACAATGTTTCGTTGCATTTAGCTAGGCTCGCGGCTGGCGACAACGTCCCAAGGCCGTATAAGTTCAACGTCCCGCCGCGTGTCGCTTGCGTTACAAATTTTGCGAGCCCAACATTAGCTTTACCAGAAAAAATCGTTATAATAACCGTCATATTTGTGTAAATTTACCGTCATGAATTTGTGTACGATTACCACGCGAGTGTTCCTTTTGGTACTTTTTACCAAAAACACATATTTGTGCGTAAATGTAACGCGAGATCCGCGGTAAAGTTACACTGAAAGCGGTTCTCCTACACAATAGTGAAGCACTCCGAAGCTAGCAAAACACACATATAAGTGTTCTTTTACCCAGAAAACAGAGTAATTTTACACCAAAAAAATGTTCCTTTTGGTACTTTCAATTACACCGTTTTTCCGCTCAATATTTCTGTGTGTGTACCTATCCCTTTTTAATGAAACTGGTGCCTTCATCGTTCAATCACCATCTTATCAAATGCATATAACAGACGGGATCTAATCGGTTCTGTTTCCCCCCCCCCCAAAAAAAAAACAATTATCAACTGCCAAAGGAACACATTGAGCGTGACAACACGGATTCAGTTCAATGCGGCGTCCGCAATATGTAGAATTTCCCTCCCTTAGTGCGTGAGCCGTCACACAATCTGCCAGGGAAATCGCAAAGGTATGCAGAACTGAGCACAAACAAAAATACCACTGAACCGATACTGGATATAGGGCAAGGACTGGGTTTATTATTCTTTCACGAGAAACGGGGAGTGCGACATGCAACCCTGCGGTGTCATATACAGGGTGGGGCAGCATAATCGGGAATAAATATCAAACGGGATTATTTGGTCATGAATCTAAAAATATAGCTCCAAGCACTATTTTAGCAACATCCTATCAATCGGTCACCTTTTACCTATCCCTCATCCTATTTGACCGCCCTCGGCGTCGATGACCTTCTCAAGGCGGGTCCAAAAGCACGCGCATGCACGTGCAACCTCCTGCTTGTCCATGATCGCCCATCAGCTTCGTACCTTGCACTGAAGACTGTTTTTACTGATGATAAGTTGTTCATTAAACTTCTACCAAAAAACGCTCCATGTAAAGAATTTGGTCGGATTTAAATCGGCGGAGTTGAAGGACCAGAAGTTTTTGGTTCATCTCAGGTGGAGGTGCCCTACACAATAACATGTCGTCCTCACTGCAGTACCAGCACGGACAGAGTCCTCGTAAGACGTGATTTGGACCGTCAGTGATCCTCTCTTCCGACGGCTCCACGTGAGTCTGCCAGAGTGCGGTTGTATTTACCAGAGGTGCTCATTTTATCCGGGCTCGATGAAGTAGGGTGCACCACGTGCACCTCCCTTGAAGACCACCCATAGGTCCATCACCCCAACAGGATGTTTACTTTGCATGACCGCTGGAATATTCTCGATACAATCCCCTATATGGCATGCCATTCTTTTTTATCGTATTCCAGTCGGTGATAAGATTTTTTGTCGCTGAAGTTTTGAACATTGTTTCTTTTTAATATGCTCAAGTGCTTCTTCCTTATATTCAAGTGAGTCATCTTGTATGTCCTCTGCTAAGAGTTATTTTACGACGATTACGTTAACCTGTTGTCCTAAGTATCCCCACACAATCCTTATCGTCCGTGATAACACGTTGACCTGCCCAGCAACCTTTACGTGGAATTGCAGGGTTTTAAACAAAATGTTCTTGTTTTACTTGTTTAACATTAGTGTCTATGGGCGCGCGCAAAGCACTTGGAGCACCGTCGAACTATTTTGCTGCTCTTTTCCAGGAAGTTGCATGCTCATGGATGTAGTCATGTCAGATGATGCACAACTTTTGGGCGTTTCATTGCCATAATATAATTTATAAAAATAATGCCATGCCTACTCATGATCAGAGCCCAAAAAGCATTCCCGATTATGCTGCCCCACCCTGTATGATACTGGCATTACATTGAATATATGTTTACTGCGAACTGCGAATGACCCATAACATCAGGAAAAGTGTTATCGAATATGCTGGAAATAATATAAATTCACGTAACGTCAGTTTCTGAAGCCGGTGCAAAGTTTGGACTGCAAGCAGTATTGGTTTGCATGGTGTTCATTGAATTTGCCATCACCTCCCAAAGCACACGCAAAAAAAAAAAAACGTTGTAAAAACGTCACTGGATCAACCAATTTCGAATCGCACTGTTTTTTCTTTGCAGCTGAATTCCTTGCACGCACTGAAAGAAATCGGGGAACCCCATTTCTTACAATCTGACACCCCATACTCCAAAATACTCCTAAATTAGGCCCCATTTTCATGATTTTAGGATGTCATGGGTGTTGTGACACCCGAAACGGGAGCCCCATTACCTTTTGACGCCCCAAAAATGTACATGACCCCCTTGGGAGAGGTTCGGCTAGCGAACTCCCCAAAAATTGCAGGCCAAAAAATTGGAGTGTCGCTGAGACACCCCCGTTGAAACCCCTCTGGGGTGTCATTATCCTGGAGTGACACCCCGTGTTGCATTCCACCAACACAGGTGCTGCCATCTGCCCCGGGCGCCGTCTCCGCGCTGTGATCGGCTATATTTCTTTCGGGACGCGTAAACTGCGAATGTTTTTTAGCCTCACCGAAGGTGTTGAAGACGCCCTTTCTTGCAGCATCATTCGTGTTCATTAAAGTGCTTTGTGTGCGCCGTATCGAAGGATAATATCGGTAGGCCGAAGGTAGAGCTTCAAATCCTGCCGATAGATGGCGCAAACTAAAGTTGGTAAAATCGGGACCTGTTTTTCACGAATGGCTGGTGCATGTTTGGAGCTAAGGCAAAAGCGTGCATAGCGTAGAGTGGCCTACTATATCACCAGACTTGTGCCGTGACCAAAAATCAAGATCCAGGATCCTCAAGGTCCCACGGCAAATTCAATTTCTAGAATCCAAGGTTTCCAAGGTCCCACGGCAAATTCAATTTCTAGAATCCAAGGTTTCCAAGGTCCCACGGCAAATTCAATTTCTAGAATCCAAGGTTTCCAAGGTCCCACGGCAAATTCAATTTCTAGAATCAAGGGTTCCAAGGTCCCACGGCAAATTCAATTTCTAGAATCCAAGGTTTCCAAGGTCCCACGGCAAATATACATTGCAGGATCCACAGTCCCCAAGGTCCCACGACAAGAATGCATTGCAGGATCCACAGTCCCTAGGGTCCCACGACAAGCGTGAATTTCAGGATCCACAGTCCCCAAGGTCCCATGATAAGTATACACTTCAGAGTTCAGGGTCCACAGTCCTCAAGGTCCCACGGCAAGAATACATCTCAGGATCCAAAGTATTCAGCGTCCCACAACAAGAACTTAAACTAACATTCTGATGAGCAGGCTTACTTCTAAATATTCTGCCAACAGATGCCCAGCAACATTGAAAGGGGCAGAACCTATGCAAACCTGTGGTGGTTTTATCATTTACCAACATACTACATAGGTAGGGGGAGCTTCAACACAAGTCAAAGTTAAAGATGAATCATGATATCAATCTCTCCTTCTTTAGCCGGACAAATTCATAAAAATATAGGTAGGTAATAGGTACCTTGCATTTTGTATTGTCATGTTCTTTCAAATCAATCTTACCTGATCATTAGAAATGTAGGATAGCACCTTACAGTTATTGAAGACAGAAATCCAAGCATTCTTTCAGGCAAGATAAAAAACCAGAAATAAAACCTACAGGCTTCAAAAAAAATGGAAAATTGAATTGGATAGGTATATGCTTTCGATTTTCTGCACATTCAGTTACATAATACCTAGAGCTCTGTTCGCACCCCGTTTATTTATCAGCAGGCTGCGACCATGCTGGTAACTTCTTGGCTCCTCATTGGTCGAATTCAAGTGGTCTATTCGTTACACCAATAAGAGGCCAAGCCGCGCCAGCAATAACCGACAGCACGCTGATATAAAAACAGCGACCGAGCAGGGCCCTGGATAAAAACTCAAATATGTTCTAAGTCTTGTTTGCGCGAGCGCTCACAGAAAAAACTGATCGATTAAGCCAATAGAATTAGAGTATCAGCGAGCGCAAACCTTACTTACTGTTCATTCACATTAGCTTGAAGGCTCTGAACAAAATTCCATCTGACAATTTTTTCGTCAGACGGTTCTTCGTCGGCAGATTTTCGTCTGACTTTTTCGTCTTGCATTTATTCGTCTGTACGAATTGATTTGGTGCATTTTTCGTCGGAGTGTTTTACTGTCCGGCATTTTTTTCGTCTGGGCGAGGCGGAAAATGTCCTTACGAAAAAAATGCGCGGACTTAAAAATGCACAGGCGAAAGCCGAAAAATGCATAGACGAAAGTCTGCAGACGAAAATCTGCAGACGAAAAATTGTCCGACGAAAACCTGCTAAACGGAAAAGTTGAACTGTCATGGAATCATTGCTTATATTGGATGCTCATTGCGCAATGGTGATTTGATGACTTGCAAATCGAATAAGTTTGACACTTGCTTGGTCAGTGGGTCAGGGTAGCTTCCAAGTAGCTTCAAGCCCGGCATATCACAACCCAGAAAACAAGGCCCAGAAAATATGTGAGGTGAGATTAGAAAAAAAAAACTTTCCAAACCACCACTGACCACTGTTTGACAGTTTCATAATCCATAACATTGATAATGTAAAAAGCTACCAGGTCTCTTGTTCCAGTTCTGCCTCACAGCCATGACAATGATTTGGCTCTGTATATGTCTACACAGTCTGGTTCATTTTCTCTTCATGTATCTATCTTAGCCCCTTGCAGCTGGTCGCTCAGTGGCTCAACCATAGATATTTATTGAAGTGTTTACAGACAAAACCTAGTGCAGGGTCCTTAGTGGCCATGTGCAACATAAACCTCATGGTCCAGCTTCCAGGATTCTTGAGGTCCCTCAAGAATATGATGGCATAGATCCAGACCCTTCTCCTAAGATCCCATGACAAATAATAAAACTGGGACTGAAGGTCTGCATTCTGCAGGGTCTTCCAGCATATCAAAATTTTGAGGTCCTGACCCCCTGGGTTTCCATGGTTTCAGGGTTTCCATGGTTTCACGGCATATGAAATGTTGAGGTCCTGGGTTTCTATAAGGTCTCATGTTGATGTCACATGAAATGTTGATGTCCTGGGATTCCAAGGTCTCGCGGCATATGCAAATGTTGAGGTCCTGGGATTCCAAGGTCTTGCGACATATGCAAATGTTGAGGTCCTGGGATTCCAAGGTCTAGCGGCATATACAAATGTTGAGGTCCTGGGATTCCAAGGTCTCGCGACATATGCAAATGTTAAGGTCCTGGGATTCCAAGGTCTTGCGGCACATGGATGTTTTAAGGTCCTGGGTTTCCAAGGTCTCACGACAAAAATGACAATGCAAGGTCCAGGATCCATCAAGGTCCCAGACCTTGGACTCTGCGAACCCTGGATCTCGGACCTTTTTGGGACCTTGGCACAAGTCTGTATATCACGATGATATCTAGACTGATTACCGTGTCATACGTTGGTTGTGCACACTACAGGGCGCCGCAAGGCCGCGAACGGAAAGAGTAACTCCTCACCCGGTTATAAATATACTCTGAGATTCTCGTTCCCAGAGAGTTCCTATCATCCTTCCGGCTCTGCAATGGTCTTGTCGACCGAAAGGGCCTAACCCAACAAAACAAAAACAAACAATCCGAGAGACAACAATTTCTCATCTATAGTTTTGGATGAGTAAAGGGGAGTAGAGCTGCTCTGCTACATGAAGGCCCGTGATTACCCGCGTGGAGGTCAGGAAAAACGTGGTTATATCAGGAACTCAGGGGAGTTGAACCGTTGTCTTTTACATCCTGTAATGTGTGTTTGACACCCCGTCGGGTGCTTAGGGACCAAAAAGGGGTTCTCGGCTGATATTTGAGGGGTGTCACCTGGAGTCTAACGGAACCCCATGTGGGCCGGCGCTGACCCCCCTTTGGCGGCTGCGACTCCCCACTATGCGTCGAAACCCTCCTGGGGTGTACGCCAAACACCCCATTTATAATAGCTCAGCGACTCCCCTCAAAACACCCCACTCGGGTGTTATTTTTGACATGACCGTCAATACCCCGTACAGGGTGTCATTTTTTCTTTCAGTGCGGCTGACGTGGTCCCAAGGGGGAGTGAGGGGGCACTCGCAACGTCACGTTGGTGATAACTGCTCAGTGACGCTGTGACGTGACACATCGGGTGACAAGGTCAGCGAAGAGTGCCGGTCGTGACGCAGTTTGTGACGCGCCTGTCAGGGTCGTTTGACTCGTTTGTGTGTCAAACGTGGCATTCAAAAGTGTCGTTGTAACGTGACCTAGCCACCCAGCCCGCTAGTGCAGAATGCATTGGTGGTATTGTCAGTTTTCCATATTGCAGTCGTAGCCGAGCACCCTAAGTTGACTGCAAAGTATAGCTTCGCTTCATGGACCCTGCACTCCTTCCCTATATGTCCGCATGGTCGTGGTTGGTTTGATTGTCAAAAGTTTGTGGTGCGGACTGGTCGCATGAATTATCCAGACACAAATGAACTTCATTTCAATTAAGTGTGAATACTGCAGCGGCGTCTCTGAATATTTCATACAACCTGCAAAGGGATGGATCAAACAGTCTAATATTGTCATGGATCGACTTAGCAAAGCAAGGCATCAGACGGGTCAACGATCCACACCACACTGACACTGCCTCGACCTTTCGACGCGTCACTAACGCCTCCATCGGCACAGCTCGGACTCTCCGTCGCCAGTGCAGACACGGGCAGCGAACGCAGCTGCACGGGCAGCTGGGCAACTGTCACCCCTCCCCGTCACAGACGCATGAGGAGGGGGAGGGGGGGGGGGTAGACGGTGGCCTTGAGCTGTTGCAGGGTGCAGACAGATTGCTGGAGCCTGCGTCACTGCCCCCCCACCCCTTCCCCACATCCTCCGGACTCCTGTCATTCCTGCGGAGCGGTGCTGCTCCCGGGGCGAGCTGCCTTCCTCCCGCTGACTACAGGGCTGCCTTATCAGAGAGCAAGTGGAGGAATATATTCATTCCATGGAACGGTAGCCGTGATGTTGCTGGCAGATATCTTGTTCGATGATACGGTTGAAAGGGTACACTGTCCGAAGCTTGGTAAATATTTGAACGCATTGGTTCCTCTGCAGGAAGGGCATTAAACACAAACAAAATATTGAGGCTCAATCGTATACCGACACGGAGGTTTTTGTACCCAGTTTTAGTCATTCCAAAGTCACTTACCTAGCTTTCAGTGTTATGTTATAAAAGAATATTAAAAATAAAAGTGTATCCTTTTCCTGATTGGCCATATGCATCAGCACCACAGACAACGGAATCCTACAATCAGATCGGATCATCCCTATTCTCCTTTGCTGGTGTTCAAACGGTTTTGTCGCTGCATTCGTTACATGGATATCATCACAAGCCGCTCATGTGCACCGCATACAGAGCATTCATAATCTGTACCAATGTCACGTATTTCGCGCTGTGCCTAGCGGTTTTACCAGCAGTTGCAGTGGGGCGGTGGCAGCTTTGCTCTCCCGCAAAGTTTGACGTCATCTCTGGTGTGCCAGGCTGGAGCACGAATGTGAATTAGCAGGGTGACCATGAAAGCTCCATTGACCGTGTGGGGCGCAATCTGGTTGAACGCTTCCTGCCACGGGTGTGTTGGAGCTAGGAGTTGAATTCAACTGCGAATGTCATAGCATGGCTCAGCAACTATTTTGTCCTCCCATTATGCGTTAGGCCACGTCAGAAAACCTACTGTCGGACCGTTCGATGCCAACTGTTGGGTGAAGGGAGTGGGAGTGAGAGGTAACTATTCTCAGCGCAGAATGTCCCGTGTCGGTCAGGGCAGGTGAAATCCCTCCAATGATACGATCCCCATGCGTCTCGAGGCCGCCATATAGTCGCCACATGGATCTAAAGGTCAGACCGACGACGACCACCGGACCACCGGCCTCGACGCATTCGCTGAAAATCCAGGGTATCACACATCAACAATTCACTGGCGAGAGCGTCTAAATGTCACAGCTCGCATGTTCACGACCAGTCGCTGATGGGTCGATGATGCCCCGTGTCTTCAGGGTGAGACAGTGCAAATGTTTCACGTCACATCCCGTCGCATCCCGTCACATTACGTGACTCACCTTCAGGTCTCGGTGAACGATGCCGTGACGGTGGCAGTAATCCACCGCCGAGGCGATCTGAAAGAACTTCCTCTGCGCCTCAGACTCCCTCAATCGGCCGTTGTGAGAAATGTACTCTGCAATGGAAAACGCTGGTCAGATTCGCAGCTTATGTAAGAGATTGATTGCTATCTTCGACGAATTTTAGTTATCGACTTTCCATATTTGGCAATTTCGAGGAGTGGATTATTACAGTTGATCGTAACTGAGGGGTATAGGCGGGTCCACCTGGCGACTGGTCCGACTATCGAAAGGTCGGCATGCGGTCGGCGGCGCGAGTCACCGCTGTCGGTCCCACACCGGTCGATGGCAGTTCCGACAGTTTTGCACGCGCCGTCACGGAACACGACCGACTAATGGACGTATGGACATTGTGCATACATATGTGTGCTGTTTCGCCCGGCTGCCACCGGCCAGTGACGACACACCTGCACATAGACATAGACATAGACATAGACGTGTATTGAAGCCATCCACGATACACTCGTGGCTATTACGGCCGCTCGTACAGGGCTAAAACTCTGCATGGGACACATAACATAAAATAACGTGATAAATGCGCTCAAAGCCCGTACACACAAACAAACATACCATGCACTCATACAGACTCATGGCCGCTGTCTAAGTCACCTCGCCTCCCCGTAGGTGGGATTGGAGGTGCCGACCAAATAGGTGGGCCGGTAGACGCGTCAGTTCTGACGGGAGCTGGTTGTAGGCGAGGGGCGCCCGGCAGCAGAACCGGCGCTGCCCCATCGCTGACCGCGATCGTGGGACTGACAGATTGCGGTCCTGTCTGGTGGATCGCTGCCGCGTCTGCGATACCTGCACCAGCTGGGCAGCCAGGGTTTCTGGCTCGCCTGATCGCCGCACCTTGTGCAGCAGGCACAGAGAGTGATACTGAGCAAGCTGCTCAGCGCTGAGCCAGCCCAAGTTATCCAGCAGGTCCGATACATGGTCGTACTTTTTGCGGCCGAAAATCACCTTTGCAGCATAGTTAATTATTTTTTGGAGCCGAGAGAGGTTTGTCTGCGTGCAGTTGCCGTATACTGAGATGCAGTATCGGACCTGCGAGAGAACGAGGGCTTGGACGATGACGGTGACAGCCGATGGTGGGAGGTGGTTCCTTAGATGTGATAGGCCATGAAGGGTTCCGAAACAGCGGTTTGTGAGAGAAGAAATGTGACTAGTCCAGCTGAGCGTGCTATCGAATGTTAAACCGAGATTTCTAACTTCCGAGACAGGGAGTAAATCATGATCGCGGAATTTGACAGAGAGGCCGGGAACGTTGCGCAGATTTTGAGAGCTTCCCAACAACATCAGCTGAGTTTTTCCTGCGTTAACTTTGAGGCCGTTGGCCTGGAACCAAAGGTCGATGGAAGTCAGCACTGCTTCCATCTTCCTGACCACGCTTTGCATGTCAGATTTTTTGCCAGAGACCAGAATTTGTGTGTCATCGGCGTACTGTGCTACCACTGCGTCTCCGGTGAACAAGGATAAGTCGTTCGCGAAGACGCAGTAGAGCAGAGGGCCGAGAGCAGAACCTTGGAAGACGCCGATGTTGTTGGGAAGAGGAGATGACTTTTTGATGTTACCCAGATTGTCTGTGAAGCAGACGCTCTGGGTATGATTTTGAAGGTAGGCCGAAAACCATGTCGTTTCTACTCCGTGAAGTTGTAGTTTAGTGAGAAGTTTTTGATGGTCTATCACATCAAAGCATTTGCTCAAGTCCAGCAGGCAGAGAAGGGAGAGGTCGCCGTGGTCGTTGGATGATAGGATTTGGTCGGTGATGGATATCAGCGCGGTTTCAGTCGAGTGACGATGACGAAATCCGTGCTGAGTTGGGGATAGGAGATGGTTTTGTGAGAGGTAATTGAAGAGCTGCTGGTGGACGGCACGCTCTACAATTTTGGCAAAGACGGGAACGATGGAAATGGGTCGGAAGTTGGAAGGATCGGAGGGGTCGCCGGACTTGTGGATGGGATGGACGAGGGAATGTTTCCAGGGATCAGGAACGTCGGCGTTGGAGATGCTGGAATTGAGCAAATGGAGGAACACACCTCCGATGACATCAAAAGACAGGCGAATCATGTGCATGGTGATGCCGTCCTCGCCGCAGGCGGAGGATCCGTTCATGCCAAACACAATATTACGCAGTTCAGTCAGGGTCAGCGGTGACAAACTAAACGAACACGCACCCACACGGGGCAAGCGACAGGGGAGGTCAGGGGATACCCCTGATCCCCTCACCTCTCTCGCTACACGTGGTCCAACACCGACAAAAAACTGGTTCAATTGATCTGGGGTAGCATCGGGTAGCGCTCTGTCCGCCTTACTGCCGCCTACTACCGAGCGGACAGCCTTCCACATAGAGGAACGGCCGTCCTCACTGATTCGCCGGCGCACCTCCGAGCAGGTGTCAGAGCGGATAGCCGAGCGCACCGCGCGGTTCAGGTCCTTATAAACAGGCGAGCCGTGCCCGTGGGTCCTCAGCGCCTGGCGGCGGCGAGCCATCAGCTCCTTAGTTGCGTCACTCACCACTGGCGCACTGGCGTTCCTGAACCGGACAGTTCTCATCGGCGCATGGACATCAATAATAGGCCGAAAGGTACACAGAAACGCATCCCATTTCAATGACACGGTCGGGGCGGCGTACACGCTGTCCCAGCACGCACGGTTCAGGTCCAGGTGAAAGTCTGGGACGTTTAGCCTACGGAATGATCGGGTGCGTACCGTACGTGCAGGGAGACGGTAACGAGGCACATCGATGACAGTCCGAACAAACCAGTGAGGACTAAAATCGCAAAAGCGGGTGGTACAACGGTTCACGACGGTTACATGAAGTGATGAATACATCTAACAGTGATCCAGTTGAATAAATGCACTTGAATAATGCAGTTGAATAATGCACTGTTGCTGAGTGACGATTGTGGACACGGTCGCAGGCTAATTCGAAGCATTGATGTGTTCTCACGAAGAGGGGTTACTAAACGGGCCGATGAGCATATTCCGGGCATGCTCATTGATCTAGAGACGTAACAAAGATGTAAGGAGATCAGCGAGCAAATCGTATGCTAAATTTAGGGTTCCGGGACCGGCGCAGCTTATCGCCAAATGCAATTGGAGTTTTGGTCGTTGTGATCGTTCGCTTGATGAAGTTTGCGGGGATTTGCTATTGAATTATATCCAAAAATACCTTGGTAAATACCCACCGAATGACGACATTTGGCTTAATGAATAGATTTGGCGAGCTTTACCGAAAACGAGAATCACATGCAAGCGGGAGCGCTGACTGCAGCGTTTAATGTGATTGCATCGTCCGAGCATAAAAAAACATATCTGAAAGCCATAGCAACCACAGAAATATCTCATGCCGCTAATTGATACATCTGACCCCACTTTATGCTTCGAACAAGCTTGGTATACCTCTCGGGGCCGTTATGTTCCCGTCTGATGCGGCACCGCGGTGGGACCCAGCCGTCATTAACATCTTACATCATACGTCTCTGTCTGCGAGGGGACAGGAGGTTCCTGGCAGTCTGCCCTGGCCGCTGATGGCCTCTCTATTCGTATGGAGATGACGCCATCTAAAAACGAGGTCTCCGCCCGCGGGCCGGGGTGGCGCCGCGAGCCTCTCTGTTCCCATGCCCGTTCTCCACCCGAGCTGATGTAACAGCTTCACAGCTGCCTCGGAGGTCAGTGCCACTCATCTCTGGCCGCCCTCCGGCTTCGCAGACCAGTTCGTGAGCGGTTCCAGCATGTTCGAGCTGGGCAGATGTGACCCCTGACCCGACAGCCGTGCCCTGTATGGGCCCGACACACCGCTGGAAACGGTCCGACCTTGCCTACCGCGATCGACGCCTCCGATAGCGGAATATTTTATGGCCGTCGCGCACACAATCTCCGTTTGCGTAACGTCATACCGATCGTGCGTGACGTCACATCTTTCTAGTGACGTCATACGGCCGTTGACAGTCAACCCCGCACCATCTCCAAGCGCGGGCGATCTAACATTGGCTGCAGGTCGAGCCAGTGACGTCATCTACTGATGACGTCACAATAGGCCATTTATGACGTCACAAGCGGCTGTGTCGCGGTCCGCCCGCCCGAGCGGCTGGCGGCGACGGCTGCGGCAGAGGCGTGCACGCTTGGAGCACCGTGCATAGCGCAGCGTCAAGTCACGTGGTATATGTGCTGACTCGTGACCCTGAATAGAGACGGCTGACAGGGAGGGGAGAGGGAGGAGGGGGCGGTGACCGGCTCGGTGTGGTCCGCCCTGACCAGGAAGCTGCTGAACGATAGAATGCAGCGCGGGCGATCGCGGGAAACTAACAGGAGCTATGGAATCCAGACAATAAGCGTCCCGATCTGTGGCAATCACACCTATGTACATTTTTGTTTTTGAAATCACAAATAAAATCGTTCCAGTAGATGGGATATTAATCATGTTTTTGAATGCGGAGTTTCCTATTTCAAAGCTGGTCGCCGGCAACTAATAACAAGCCTAACAGAAGGTCGCTACTAATGGGTTGAGTCAGCCAACAGACAAAACACAATCGGATTACATCGTAATACCCATGTGTCAGCCAAACATCAAGGGCTCGGGTGTTATTCGCTGTTACTCGGATAATTACAAACGACACGGTTAGAATAGGGTAGTGTCGGCAGTCATTTTAAATCACGAAATGAACTCTTCATGATACGAATTCTAAAGTGAAACAACTAAACAAATAAACTATGGAGGTTGTAAATAAATGGACTAGCTAGAAATATAGAAATAGAGAAAGGGCGAGCGAGAGAGAGAGAGAGAGGGGGGGAGAGAGAGATCCGGTCTACTCACCGAAGATGTCGCCTTGGCTGGCGTATTCGGAGACGATATAGAGCATGCTCTGCGTCTCCATAACCTGAAATAAACGGCAATATTCTCTCAGCGCCTGGGTGACGATCGGCCGCACTCAGGCGCGGCGGCAATCGGTCAGGCATGAGCGCTGTGATCTGATCCAGTGATTGACCTCTCGAGGTGAGCTATTTCCGTCACGGAGATCGTGATGCGTCACTGTGCGCGTGACGGTGTGAGGAGCTCACCTGGTACAACCGAATGATGTTTGGGTGACTGAGGCGCTTCATGATTTCCACTTCACGGTACACTTTCTTGAGATTATCGGGAGTTAAGCTCATCTTGTCAATGATCTTTATCGCCACCTGGAAAACAGACAAGATGTTAGTGCATGGACCTTAAGGTTTCAACCTTGCACGGTACGTCGCACATTTGCCTTTTTGGTCGAGGCAAAGAACCGCTTAATGAATTCCGACTAATTAAACATAGGTTTATAAGAATGTAGCCGGGCTAATCGAATTTTTTATGTTTTGCATATCAAGTATTATATATTAACCCTATTAGTGGCAGGGGGGGGTTGTTTTTATCCACCCCTCAGGTTTTTCGGGAATATCTCCGAAACCGCTGAAGCTACGATGCTGAAATTTTCTGACTTTTCCTAAAACTAAATTGGGCACATTCCCTGAAAATTTCAAGTTCATAACTTTACCAGGGGCGGCTCCAGAGCACTGGGAATTGGGGGGTCCTATTCGTGAAGCGAGTCATTTGGGCGAAGATCACGATGCTGCACCAGTTTTACGAACAGTGAATGAAAGGTATCATGTGATAACATATAAAAGTTATTGTGCATCCTCTTTTGACACGTTTTTGCTATAATAGGCGGATCCAGGCGTCCAAAAAGGGGGGTTATTTTTTACCTCCCAACATAGGTGCCCTGACACCGCCTATGCATGACCAATACAATTTTAGTCGTTCTCTCATAAGAAAATTGTAACATAACAAGACCATTGCCACCCTTTTTAGAAACAGTACCAACAAAAACCTTATTTACTATACTTTTTGTGTACCCCCAATCTCAATGATCTGTATCCGCCTATGATTTTTGAAAATGCATATTTTTAGGATCCATGTGAATTCCTGGTTCATTCTCTATCGATCGGCAAAAGTTGCGTTAAGATTGGTTCAGAAACCTGGCCGTGATAAACAGTCTAAAATGTATCTGCAATTTGACCGTTTTTACCCCCCTCTACCCCCCTATTGATATTTTTTAATTTTATTTTTTTAGAAATGTAGATCTCGTTGAGCCAAATCGAATGCCGTTTGAATTTTGAAAATCGGCCGGTTAGATCTCGAGATATCAAGGGGGGGTCGTAAACAGCCCCCCCCCCCCCTGCCACTAATATGGGGTAGCCAGGAGCCTGCCACTAATAGGGTTAACCCACGAGCCGCTGGGGGGGGGGGGGCATAAAGTTGCCCCCCTTTACGTTTTGTGAAATATCTCCGAAACCTGATGAGCTACGAACGTGAAACTTGGCATTGTTTCAAATGAATACATAGGCAATGTTTGAGGAAAGTTTGGTGGTTGTAGCACCCAAGATGACGTGACAGTGACGTCATAAAGTTTTGCCATTTTCCGATATGGACCGTTTCTGATGACGCCGAGCATGAAACTCAACTGTAAATGAACTAGACAGCACCTGCTGTCATCCTATAACATCTAACTACACTTCCATCTAGTTTCTTACCAATAATGGGTCCTTTATATTCGGTCCCGTATATCTGATGTATCGTGAGGAATATGAGAGTCGCAAATTTATAATTTCACTTATGACGTCACTGTGACGTCATTTCAAATGGGATCAACACCAAATTTGGACACAACCTCGGCTAGGTATTCAGAAAGATGTGTGCAAAGTTTCGCTTTTCTATCTCTTCGCGTTGCGACAATATCGTCGCAGAAGTAAGGGGGGCAACTATATGCCCCCCCCCCTCCCCCAGCGGCCGGCGGGTGGCGCGGAGGCCCAGCGGCCGCCGGGTTAATTGGTACCATAGGTCGTTGTCTTGGTGTGCTTCATGTTTGCATATTTTCAAGCTAATGTAATGTCGCCATACAAATCATTTGGGGCATGCACAATGCACATAGCAGCGCTAATGAGCATTGCTGTTCAACACTCAGCTTTTAATTTTGTTCGGTGCAAAATCGAGCAGTGTTTCCGAGTGACTAACGATTTGACCTTTGCTATATTTTTAGGTTGATGGTAACGGCTTTAAATTACACACATCAATTAAGAATGAATGCAATTTTGCGTGATAACATCCAGCCATGAATGAAAATGTACAAAATGGACACTGCACAATGCATGTCACCGACGAAAGTGTTCGGATCAACCCGCGCTACCGCTGTGCCGCCGTGATAGCCGGCCGGCCGCCGTGACACCGCGGCGCCGCCGCCGCTCGCTGCAGCCGTCCCGCCGCCGCACCGCCGTCACCCCCGTCCAGACTCGGGATGAGTTGTGAGGCATTGTGCAGGGCGGGGCCGCGAGCAGACGCGGCCGGCGGTCGGTACGCGTGCCGCCGACGCTGCCGAGACGCAGCAGCGCCGCGGCCGCCACCGAGACCGAGATATAAATTAAAGACACGTCGTTTTAAGGCACGTAGGCCGCCAAGCTGGCGCCTTCAGCCACCTCCCCGCTGCAGTGCAAGTTTGCACTCGTTTGCACACGTCTTAAGCATTGCGTATAAAATGTGGGTCACGTACGACCCCGGCAGAGTCTCACTTCGACCGTCGCGCTGTGCGCACGGACTGATCTGCCCCGCTCGACGCCTCGCCCGGCTGAGCGGGGACAGAGTACAGAAGCACGCGCGCAGACCGACTCTCCTGCACGCAGCCGCGCCCGGCGGGGCAGTGTCAGTGCTTCAGATTGTACAGTGAATGTGAATGGTGCTCCGTGTCTGCGTGTCTCATCTACCGGTTTTCTTCACAACTGCTTCCGCTTCTTGCTTCGCGTATACTTCAATAAATCCTCTACGGGAAATCTTCACGTCTATCTACTACTGAAAATCGCCGAATATCAAAAAACCCAGGAGCTCACATAGCAGGCGGGCGGGCTACGAATGTCGCACAAACTCACCGAATAAAATACAGTCCACATCCAACCAGAAAAGAACTCCGAACGACAGTTTGTCGGCGACATTTGCTGGTCCTCCGGGCCGGATCCTGAACTATGGCAAGTGGAGAAGCAAGCCCGTCTCTAGAGCGAATGGGGGAAAGTGACAAAGAAGAAACCGCTGACATGGAAGAAGTACCAGCTGAACCAGCCGCTGCAGGTCAAGGACAAGCTGCAGTGACTACAGCCCGAGAAGAACCACGAGAAGGCCAATGCTCCAACGGGGAGTGGCGGCACCTCAGACAGGTGAGAGGTCGTCATCGGGCGGCTCTCACAAGGATTTTCCGGCGCGCTGAAGCTCTCGTGACAGATAGAGCCTCACGCGTCCAGTTTGGAAATATCCGCAGAGAAATGAACAGCGCTTTCCAAGCGTTGATGGCCGTTCACGAATGTATCTCTGGATACACGCAGAGTGAGGAAGAAAAAGAAAATGAGGCTCAGTACTTAAGCGAAGTTCGTACGGAGAAAGAGAGAATCGAGGAGAAAATCGAGACTTTCATGACAAGCACCACAGACGAACTACAGCTGACCTCTACGAGACAGACTGACTTCAGCGAGGATGGAGGAGGGCAACCTGAAGACGGCTTGAGACGCTCAGTGTCACGCATGACCCGTAGCGCCGCTCGCCCAGCAAGGTCACAGGTCAGTGGCAGCTCGGCGGCCTCTCATGCATCAGCTGAAGCCAGGATATCATCCAAACTGAAGGAGTTACGCGTGCGCCAGCTGGAGAGAGAAAGGACACGAGAACAAGAGCTGCGCGAACAAGAACAAAAGATAAAGCAACAAGAACAAGAACTGCAATTCGAGAGAGACCTTCAGAAAGCCAGAGATGAAGCTGAAGCTGCCCGACTGGAGGCGGACCTGAGGGAAGAAATGGAAGACGAGCTCAATGCAGACAGGCGAGACGATTTTGTGGATGAAAATCTGGGAGAACCAATCACCGAGAAAAGCGTTTCTCAAAGGCCGAACTGCTCCAGATCACAACTTCGTTTCTCCGAGCCAGTCTCCATTACGCCCAGAGAACCTCTAGAACCTCTAACCGAAATCAGAGAAGAACCTCCGCAACTAGAACCTCCACGAATGGCGCCCAGTCCCGGTATGTCCACAAGCCAGACGTCATGGATAGATCAGCTGCGACCGACAGCTGTACCACGTCCGGCTCCTACGACATCCGCGTTCACTAAGAGCATCCCCCGTCTCCAGCTGCCGACCTTCTCAGGCAAGCCGTCTGAGTGGCCGCGCTGGATCGGACTGTTCCGAGCGCTCGTGCACGACCAGCCATCGCTCAGCGACGCGGAAAGAATGGCTCACCTGCAAGCGTCAGTGATGGGACAAGCGCAAGAAGCCATCGCTGGCATGTTATTTGACGGCAACCTCTACCAACAAGCTCTCAAAACTCTACAAGATCGTTTCGGCCGAAGCACGGATGTGATTAAGGTACATCTCGAGAAAGTGTTCTCGGCTGAACCTCCTCAGAAGAACAGTGTTCGATCGTTGGAGTACTTCCATTCCGCCCTGCACTGCGCGGTCACGCTCATGCAGGCCCAAGGATATGAGGCGGACCTGTACAGCACAGAGAATCTCCGAAGAACGGTGGTCAAACTTCCAGAATATCTACGGCGTGAATGGGGTAAACATGTGCTCGAACTCCACCCAAGACATCCATCACTCATCGACCTGGACGTTTGGCTGCTGAAGCAGGTCCAAATTGCATCGCTCTGCCAAACCGCTGAAACGCCGAGTGACAGGCGGGGGAGAACCAGAGACCAGACGACTAAGCGAGCAGCGCATGCTACCGCAACTTCGTCACCAGCCACTCCATCAACGGCACAGAAACCAGGTGGGAATGCGTCGTGTCCGAAGTGCGGTGGTGAGCACAGACTGCACCAGTGTCGTGAGTTCAAAAATCTGGACGTCGAAAGAAGAACCGACCTAATATTCGACAAGGGACTGTGCCTCTGGTGTCTGCAAAGGGGACATCTAGCCAGAGAATGTCACAACACCAAGCTCTGTGGTGTAAATGGGTGCCAGAGACGCCATAATCAGCTGATACATGGCAGCACCAAACGAACCACGCCCCTCACCGACCGCTCGGGAGCCGTAGCCAGTCGGCCTGCCAATGAAACAACTTCAGCGGCAGAAGGAGAAGAGGTACGTGTGGTGGCTGCATCTACCTCCATCGGAAAGACGGGCGGAAC